TGCTTTAATGTTTTTTTAATACAGAATGAACTATACCCAATATAAAAACTTATAGTAATTATAATTATGATTTACTTCTAGTATCAGTAATGAGGAAATTGGGTGGTCCTGATATTAATTTGTTTTCAGGATAACTTTAAAAGGAAGTACATATGGCCCTATAATGTCGAGTTCATGAAGTTTAGGTTATGAATTATTAAAAAGTTCTGCCCAGGAAGTGAGATTTTATTTTGTTGTGGGAAAACATTAATTATAAATAAGATGATTGTTGTAAATAAAAATAATAATCTGTTTGTTGTGGGATTTGAGTACAGCCAGGTCAAAGATTGGCCTTAATTTACATATAAAATACTTAATTAGACCAAACAAGATTCAGTCCAGGATAGAATTCTCAGCTTTATTAATGTGTTTTGGCAGGCTGCCAGCTGTCGAAAATAGACGGTCTGATAGGTCCTGTGTAACTGACATCACGTGGGATGTGATGTAAGTTGAATTACACCAGTAACACAGAAATATCAACCCTAGTCTTAAACCCCTCCGCCGCGTAGTCCGCGCGCTGTTTAAAAAAAACCAAAAAACGCATATTGATCTGTTCCGTCTGACTCATGGTGTTCAGGATTAGTCAAGTTAAAGTGGGGAAACTGGAGACGAGAAAAAAACGGTTTGCACTCCAATTTACAAATATCCCCTTTCGCATTGATTTAGAGCAAGGTGAAGGTTGGACATTATTTATACTTGAATGTGTGAGTATGCTTGTGTGTACTTTGGTCCAGGGTCTGCTATCAATGCCCTTGAGGAATGTCATTATGGGATATAAACAAGAGAAGAAAAGTCACATGACCATGTGGATGAGTCCATGTTTATGTATAGGGTAGAGGGGTAATTTTTGTGATGGTTGTGTTATGTTTAACTAGGGAGGGGTAGAGGTTGTAGACAGTGTAGACGAGGTCGTAGGTTTTAATCAATGTTTGTGTAGGCTCCATTGTGTGAGATAGAGATAAGAAGGTTATTTGTAATGTCAATACTACAGAGTCTAGTTCATAGATCCTGGAGCATTGACCTGTTTTTTTGAATCAACAATGTATTCTTTTACACCCTGACAATGAAATTTGAGTGCAATAATAACTGCTTTATGAATAACTTGCTGAATGGCAGTTGGTATAATATAATGGGTGGAGTTAAGTCTAAAATAAATCTATCAAAACTTTTTTGACTTGACTTTTATATTTAAGGGAAATGGGCTGAACTTATGACATATTTAGATCTGGGACAGGTTTTGATGGTATTTCTAAAAGTTTTATTAATACCGGTGGTACATGTATAATTAAATAGATCAAGTAGGTCAAAAGTTATTATAACTTATCTAAATGTAGTCAATTACCCGGTGATTATATAGGGATAAGTGTTTTATGAGAAGGCTTGACCTAGTTAGGTTAGTTTATCAAAGTCCGGTTACAATTGATTTATCTATAGTATTTGGTCTTGCCTGTCAATATAGGGGACATGAAATAAAATGGGGTTTAACATCCTACTGTTCTACTCCTCCTACCAGGCTAATGAAAAAAGGTCAAACACCATACAGCGTGCTAAGAGGGAAATTTTGCTCGGGTAGCGGCATTATAGCTCCGACTTGTGTATCAATTTCCAACTGCCCGGGGATCTTTAACATGCACGCCAATGTTCAGTAAAGGGGACTGTACTTATATCATGTAATTATTTGCTGAATCTCTTGAGGTGTATGGGGATTGGGCGGTTAAATGGTTAGCGTGTGCGCGCTGTATCATAAGGTCTGTCATTGAGTCAACTGGCGTGGTTTCGATTCCCTGGTTGTACTTGACAAGGTGTAGGGTCGCCTGTCTAACCTTATGGGTTTTCTTCGGGTCCCCCGGTTCCTCCCACTGCAAAAGGGAAAGTATTGAAATAAAACTGAACCATATGTTAGTCCAAAAATAACTTAGTTTGTGTTGAGTGGAGGTTAAACTCTCTCTCTCTCTCTTAAGCTCTCTCTCTCTCTCTCTCTCTCTCTCTCTCTCTCTTGAGGTGTACATGTAGTAAAATATGACATGCTGCATGTAGATAATGGAAATAGTTGTAGATACATGTAGTGGTTAAATTCCAGTCATTCATAACAAAATTCTCCCAGATATTAAAAGACACTTCTGATAGAGTAATACAATCTTGGATTTACAAATTCACTCTCAATTATGCAACTTTAATACGATGCATTACGTAAGAGCCAAGACTTTTTTTTTCTGGCATCAAATAGTTGAAATGCTATATGAATAAATATTTACACATATATTCACATGGCAAACCCAGATATCTGAGATATTACGTTACAAATGAATTAGAAAATGTCTGCCATATCTTCATTAAACTGGAAAATCGATACAGCTTTTTTGATGTAGCAATTCTACTTGACAATTAAGGCTATTTACTCTATTTCTTGTCAAAGCTTCAAACATTTATAAATTGACTGAAATTTTCGACTAGTATAACAAGAACAGAATGTATCTTACGGAGTGTATCTTTAATTTACATCTACATCTGTGTAATTGATATTGTACCAGAGAAAGAGAGAAATGGAGTTTAACGTCCACTCGACACAAACTAGGTCATTTCGGGACTAACATATGGTTTAATTTTATTCCATGTCAACTGGCATGTTTACGATTCCCCGGTTGTACGTGACAAGGAGAAGCGTCTTCTGTCCAACCTCTTGATTTTTCTTTAGGTCCTCTGGTTTCCTAACACTGCTAAAGATCCCTGCACATAAGCAACTTATTGAAATAAAATTGAACTATATGTTAAGCCCGAACTGACCTAGTTGGTGTCCAGTCTCTCTCTCTCTCTCTCTCTCTCTCTCTCTCTCTCCTTGTGAAGCTATTTAAAATGAAGTGCGGGGATCGAAGTAACAGGTATTGTAATATTTATTGAAATAAAATGCAGGGATCATGGGTACTGTAATATAAATATGAGTGAAATATAAAAGTTATATATAACTCTTTGATTTCTATACTCCTCCGCTATCCAACCTTCGTTCAAGGGATTATAGCATATTGAGGATTCCTAAATATGATAAACGTTCAGAGCAGCTAAAATACGGAATGCTCTTCCAAAAAATTCTTTGAGAGTCTTCTGCCATCCAAAGCTATAAGACTAAGTTAAAAACATATTTATTTCAAAAATCTTTTTGAACTGTTTTGTTGTGAATGCACTTAGAAACACTCATGTGTAATGAAGCGCTATATAAATTGAACAATAATGATATAACAATGTATAAAGATAAAGTCTCATTTTAAATAACATAAATAGTTGATGTCAAATATTGTTCAAATTCTATTAAAAGAATTGATTTTTTTTTTTACCTTCAATAAAATGACTCAACTACCTGTATACCTGACACATATAGGTACTTGTATATAGTTATCTATCAGGTTGTAAATATCTGGTATCTATTAACGTACACCATGAATGATTAAAGTCTTGTGGCATCCTTTTGAGAATAAAAAAACCTAGGAAATTGTTGTTGACCCTGTATGTCTCTGCTGAAGCCTATCAATTTTAATGACTTCCAATAATTACTTCAAGGGTTATTGCTCTTGATAACAACAGAGATTCTTCATTGGGTCACAAGGACCTATTCAAGATTAGAATTTTTTCATCGCAAATATTGCAGTGTAGCCCTTCCCTCAAATTTATGAACATGATAACAGAACACAATATTTATGGGAAACAATCACTGGTATTATTTTAAAAGCATGAAAATTCGACAAGTACATGTATCCTTGAAACGTCATGCTTTTCGAATAAAACCAGTGATTGTTTCCCATAAAAGGGGGGGTTGGATGGCTGAATGGTTAGAGTGCGCGCGCTGTATCATAAAGTCTGTCATTGAGTCGACCGGCGTGGTTTCGAATCCCCGGTTGTACGTGACAAGGTGTAGGGTTGCCTGTCCAACCTCGTGGGTTTTCTCCGGGTCCTCCTGTTTCCTCCCACTGCTAAAGACCCCTACCATATGTTAGTCCCAAAATGACCTGGTTTGTGTCGAGTGGACGTTAAACCCCATTTCTCTCTCTCTCTCTCTCTCTCTCTCTCTCTCTCTGTTTCCCATAAAAATTGTGTTCTGTTAATGTTTCCAACAGCCCCTTCAAGATTAGGTGAACATGATACATGTACAAGTACAAGTCAGATTTGATAGTTTGTGGGGTTTTTTTGTATAACTTGCCCTGCAGCATTCGTTAAAAATAAATTTAAAGCTACATATAACACAGATGACTTTAATGCTGTTTGGTGTCTCGTAAATACTCAAGTTATATGTACATGTATTCCGACGTGGTTCTCCCTTGTCAGTGATGCAGGGCGGGGGGGCTGACAAGGACAGCTGTTTAGTCGTTCGGATGGGACGAAAAACCGAGGTCACGTGTACACATTGGCGTGCACGTAAAAGATCCCTTGACAGTTGGAATTCGATATAAGAGTAGGCCGTAGTGCCACTGTCCGGGCAAAATTTCCCTCATAGCACACTGTATGGTGTATGCCCGTCTTCATTAGCCCAGTTCGGAGCAAAACAGTAGGACGTTAAACCCCATTTCATTTCATTTCATGTACATGTATTAATATAAAAATAAAAATGTAACTAAACTTACATGTATATAAGGCATCTGCGCGAACTACATGTATATTACTGTACTACTGAGAGGTTGGATGACCGAATGGTTAGCATGTGCATGCTGTATCATAAGGTCTGTCATTGAGTCAACTACCATGGTTTCGATTCCCTGGTTGTATGTGACGAGCAGTAGGGTGGCCGCTTCAACCTCGTTGGTTTTCTCTGGGTCCTCTGGTTTCCTCCCACTGTTAAAGACCCCTACGCACAAGTGAATTATTGAAATAAAATTGAACCATATGTTAGTCCCAAAATGACCTAGTTTGTGTTGAGTGGATGTTAAAACCCAAAGTGTCTATGATCCTTTAAGCATATATTTTTGTATTTACAGCTAATCATTCAGAGAATATGGAAGTAGATGGAACAGTGGATATTCCTACATCAAAAACGACTGTTCTCAGAGGTCATGAATCGGAGGTGTTTATTTGTGCTTGGAATCCTGCCAATGACCTGTTAGCTTCAGGGTAAGTGCAAGCAAATAAACTTGATTAACATATTCTACATGTATGGTGTAGGTGACGGTACCTATAATTTTTAACATTAAATGTTTTTTAACTGCTACTTGCTACAGTAATAGAGTTAAATATGAGTGGCTTGGTTTGTTTTTTTTTTAAATTAAAAAATATATTTGACACGCCACACTTTGAGTTTGATCAATCAGCAAGTTTAAATAGAAAAGGCGAATATAGATGGTTAAAAAGGTTGAGGTACATTAAAATAACTTGAAAGTCTGGGAAGTGCAAAATGGTCTTTATTTTTAATTTGACATGAAAATATTAAAACTTTTATGAGTTTTCCTCATAACATTTAAAATATTTATATTAATTTAAATAGTAACTACATGTACATGAGTAGTTTTAATACTAAATCCATGAGTTATGCTCATAAAAATTAAAATATTCATATGTATTAAAAGAGCAATTTTTAAAATATGCGATCAGGTGATAAAATTCGCTTATCTGCCCACCCCCACTTTATAGATACGGGCACAATATAATAAAAAGTTGTATCATTATCATAAAAATTTACATTTTATGAATACACAAGCTCGTTATGATAATAAAGTTGTATCATAATCATGAAATTGTAATTATATTACATTTTAGAAATAGAAGCATGATTATGATAAAAAGCATAATATAATAAAGAATTTACATTTTATCAATACAAGCTCGATATCATAATAAAGTTGTATCATTATCATGTTACCATTTACATGTATAAAAAGGAGCATGATTATGATAAAAAGCACAATACATGTATAATAAAAAATAAAAAAAAAGTTCTATCATAATCATGAAAATTTACATTTTATAAATACAAGCTCGATATGATAATAAAGTTTTATCATAAAGATTTATAAATAGAAGCATATAATAATGAAATAGTAATCATTTTAAAGTTGTACATGTATCATAATCATGAAATTGTAATCTTATTACCATTTATATATATATAGAAGCATAATAATGATAAAAGCACAATACATGTATAATATGATAATCATGAAATGGTAATCGTGTTACATTTTATAAATAGAAGCACTTAGAGTATTTCCCTATTGTGATGTGGATTTTAGCACATTATAAGACTCCTTATTATTATTATATAAGCATGATGAAATAAGAAATTCTATCAGGAAATGATGAAAGTTAACTATTTGCACAGCATTGGATATACCCACTTTAAATTAACTGTACGTTTGCGGAACTAGTCTATGACGCATAACGCGACATCTATCTTAGACTACTTGACGGGGGAAAAAAAACAAGTTCTATATATGTCATGTGTGTTATAAGTTCCCCTAGTAATTTGTCATTCTGTCTACTTGAACAAAGAAAGAAATCTATACCACATGGATCATTTTGGGCGGAATTTCGTAGAAAAAACTAGCCATTAATGACAATAATGACCAGTTGACGTAAGCGTAGCTAATTCTGTCTAACGAGATTATGTCTTTTAATGTCAAAGGTTATTGTGTTGTCGTGTAACACATTACGATGGCGAGCAGACAGATTGGTGTTAGTAAGTTGTTATGTGGGCCACTGGAGGGCCAACCAGAAATAAATGTTTTATTATGAATAATTTAACACCTGTTGAAAATTACGTTATGAAATAGATTTATATCTGACCCTGTTTCTAAACAATTTTTTTTTACATTATTAAACTATAAATTTTTATTATTTTGTGCACGTGTGGCTCTGGCGTCATCAACATAATGGTCCTGGGGTTTTTTTTAGCCTAGAAACGAGTTTGTGTCGACATTGATAAAGATACTGATCAATTGTTGTATTTTATTGAATTTCTATAATGATGAAATGTACATGTATATTAAAGGGACAATCCCTATTTTAACAGAGTCTCAAAAATAAAAGTCTGAGTACGTATTAATTAAAGCGCAAAAATAAAGAGGAATGCTGTATTTAAGCTGTCTCAAAATTTCAGCTCAAAATATTGAGTCGTTTGGTCGTGAACGTCAAAATTGCTTATCCAGACACGTAAACCTTTTAATATTTCGGTTAATTTTTTTTGTTGGATGACCTGATAATCGATTCCCGTTCCTATACAGTGAATGACCCAGCTTGAGGCACCCGTCTCCATTTCCAGATTAAGACTGATGGGTTTAAGTTGTTTGAAAACCTATCACAAATATTGAGTTAGTTGCTCTGCCCTTAGGTAGAGAGGAATCTTAAGGGATTTTAACACAAAATTAAGCAGTTTTATTCTCCAAAATATTATTGGGAGTGACCCTTTAATCATACCTGTATGTATTGATAGTATGTGAAATATGTTTATAAATGTACTATGTGACATAAGATATTTATTATTTATAGGTTTGTTACATTGAGAGAGAGTTATACATGTACTATATTAAAGTAGCTAAGTCTCTAAATCAATATCATCCAAAGTCTTGGACTTTGAAAACACAATTTATTTGTCAATTTAAATCAATATTGATGTTGTGATCTTACAGGGAAAAGATGTGCTTCTGATATCCAATATTTAAGACAAAATAAACATTTTACCAATGGTACACGAATCGTGTAACATAATGCGTTTCACTGCCATTTGTAACAAGGGACTTGAAGAACGAGGCTAGACATATTCCACAAGTCATATCAAACACTCACACCATGTTCTTATCTGGAGAGCATGCGCACTAAATACTATTGGTGTAAACTGGAATAACCAGACGCTAGAGATTGCCATTCGATTGAGATTTCTGGCATATATCGACGAACATAACTGATTAGAAATTACAGTAAAAACAGAAACGATTGAATGTAAATCAGTTTATATACATTCATATTACGTTATTATTATCTAGTTCCCAAATATTAGCGATTTAGATACTTTAAATTATCTAAAATTTCTAATGAGAGAGAGAGAGTATCTAAGATGTAAAAGTGAAAGGGAGAGAGAGAGAGAGAGAGAGAGATAGGAGAGAGAGAGAGAGATAGGAGAGAGAGAGAGAGAGAAATGGGTTTAGTTCCACTCGCACAAACTAGTTCATTTGAGGACAACCATATCTACAATTAGAATTCCTTCACTACCAAACCACCCATAAAACTTCAAATATTTTTTTGCAAATTGTTTTGGTTATGAATTAAAATTCGTTTTGTAGCCTAGTATATCACTGATATTTAAGTAGAGGGCTATGAATATTAAATTCAAAATTTCAAGAAATAAAATCTGACACCTTCTCTTTAAATTTATTCCATTAGCCATTAAATATTACAATGTATGTCTAGAAGTAGAATTTGTATTATACTGTTTACCATTAAACGGAAGCAGTTGCTCTGGTGATACTGCTCCGGTCGCCAACAACTTTATAAAGGGATCATCCGCACAATCTCACTGATGAGTTTGAAATGAACGAAACTAGTCACTTCATGAGTGAAATCTGGGATGACTACTTGCCACTCATAGATGGGGGTTGGATGGCCGAATGGTTAGCACTAGCGCTCTATCATAAGGCATGTAATTAAGTCAACTGGCATGGTTTCGAATTCCCGTTGTATGTGACAAGGAGTAGGGTCGCCTGTCCATCCTTGTGGGTTTTTCTCAGGGTCCTCCGGTTTCCTCCCACTGCTAAAGACCCCTACAAGCAAGCGAATTATTGAAATAAAATTAAACCATATGTTAGGACATTAAATCCCAGCTCTCTCTCTCTCTCTCTCTCTCTCTCTCCACTCATAGATTTCTAATTTTATACTGTACCAGTTTAATACTACATTGGGCCGAAATTTACCCTGTGGCTCAGTCGATTAGATGAAAATGACTGGCCTAATATAGACATTTCTACGAGACTAAATTATTGACAGCCGTTATTAAAGAATGTAGGGTACTGTAGGTAGGCGTCATTGAGTAGGCGTTAATTTCCTAAGGGAGGTAATTTACAGCATGAAAAACAGATGATGACAAAGGCATGATTGTCAGCAGTAATTATTAGGTCACATGCTATGTCTGCCGCTCAAGCGTTCTTTGATCCCTGACATTAAAAAAAACTGTTACTTGTATTCTGGATTTTTAAAACCTAGTTTAAGAATAATTTGAAGAGATACAAAAGTATCACTGGAACTGAAGCGAAATGGCAATTTCTCAAAGCTTTATAATAAGCATTTAAAAATAAGTCTTCGGACTCCATTTATATTTGCTCTTTGACAAGTTGGGGATTAGATTTTATTAATGCCAGTATGGTTAGAAAAAAGAGAGAGATAGAGAGCATCTATTTGACACAAACTAGGTCATTTTGGGACTAACGTATGGTTCAATTATATTTCAATAATTCGCTTGCACGTAAGGGTCTTTAGCAGTTGGAGAACCCAGAGAAAACCCACAGACGACCCAACTCCTTGTCACGTACAAACAGGGAATCGAAACCTTGCCAGTTGACTTAATGACAGACCTTATAATACAGTGTGCACGCTATAACCATTCGACCATCCCTCCCGTGATTTCAATAAAATTAATTATTTGAATTTGATGGGTATCTATTATTATTTGGAAACAAAACTTTTAAGAAACTTTTAATTCTGACGTAGAGTGTTCTATATTTATAGCCGTACAAAAATACATTTAAAGACATCTGTCGCTTTTCCAGAATGTGATCATATATGTATATCAGCTTAAACATTCATGTCAGTAAATATTTACAATATGAAAAAGTTACGCAATTCGTGCTTTGTATTGATCAAAGATTTTTTGAACTAGTTTCGGGACAGTCTCATACGAAAAGACATTTTTTTCTGCAAATCATACATGATCATTTGTAGATTAACAATCAATCTGAATAAAACGCAGATCCTATTTCGTTTTTTATAGTTCAAAATTTTATTTCTGAGTACTACATTAGGATCTGAAAGAGTTGTTGCATGTATATTACCGGCGTTTTGGTTGAAGTGAGGGATTGGCCAATGAAATGATCTGTTATGGAACAGTGGGTAAACCACTAGAAATGCCAACGCTTATTGATTAACCAATGTCTGACGTCATAAGGTCAAAAGCAGCTCGTATGACCCCTGACACGACCTTCAAGTACAAGATGTCAGATCTTCATGCTTCATGTAGTAGAGGCCATCGAAAGTATAAAAAAACAAAACTAAATATATAGAGGATATTTGTCGTTTTAAAGTGAATAACATATTTTATTTCATTGAGAAGCAAGAAAACTTATATTTTCACGAATGCGTAGAATGAGTGAAAATATAAACGTTTTCTTGCTTAGAGATGAAATAAAATATGTTATTTACGACAAAACGACAAATGTTCTATTTATTTTATGATTTTACAATCATTTTAGGTAAAAACAAATAGCCAGTGGAATAACACTTTTATTTCACTGATAAAACGCGGTATTCCACTACTGATCATAAAATAAAGATCTGTATTTTAATCAGATTGAATCTAAATAATCTTAGATTTATCATCATGTTTATTGATTGATTTTGTGTATTTTTCAGTTCTGGTGACTCGACAGCTAGAATATGGAATATGAATGATATTAGTTCGAACGCCAATCAATTAGTTTTACGCCATTGTATACAAAAAGGTGGTACGGAGGTACCCAGTAATAAAGATGTCACATCGTTAGATTGGAACGTAAGTTGTAGTTCTTTAAGTTATTATATCATATTAAAATACAGATGTGACGTCATCCTTTGATGTTAGCAGACCATTATATCAAATAATGGTATAGGCAAAGTGCCAAGTGTACATTATATTTACTAGTTGAAAATTGGACCCACGTGACGTACATGTATTTCATTGAAATGCATGTGCTTTATAGTGTCTGTACTATAAGTTGTTTAATGGGCTTGTGCAAGACATTGCGTAATATATTGATATAGTACTCGTACAATATCAATATTACTTAATGTCTCACACTCAACCATTAAACTACACTTAAAGCCACCGACCATTATTTGCATTTTTAAGAATTATATAATAAGTTTTCATGACTTAGTCAACATTCAAAATATAAGATTTAATTAAGAAAACAGATCCAAAATAATCAAAAATGAGGTTGATTTTTTCTGACATTATTTATTCAATAAATATTTACATATTATAAAAGTACGCTATATAATTGTGAGATCTTAAAACAAGCTGTCTATATAAATTCATCAATTCAAAAGCTAAACCCTTTAACTGGAGAGGGATCACGGTTGCTAAGATGCTGGCTCGCTAGCCTGGAAATCGGGTGTTTGATCCCTGCATTGGCTGAGAAAGTTCATCCAGATTTTCCAGCGTGGTTCCCACTTATCAATGATGCAGGACGGAGGGCCTGACAAGGACAGCTGTCTAGTCGTTCAGATGGGACGAAAAAACAATGTCCCGTGTACACATTGGCGTGCACGTAAAAGATCCTTTGACAGTTGGAATTCGATATAAGAGTAGGTCGTACTGCCGTTGTCCGGGCAAAATTTCCCTCATAGCACACTGATGGTGTATGCCTGTCTTCATTATCCCAGTTCGGAGCAGAACAGTAGGACGTTAAACCCCATTTGATTTGTTTAACTGGAGTGTTATTATTTTTATAGTGTGATGGAACATTATTAGCAACTGGTTCATATGATGGATATGCGAGAATGTGGAGTACAGATGGTAATATTTATTTATTTTAAAGTACAATTTTTTATATCATGCTGTTAAACCAGCTAAGCTTGTAATGATTCTGGGATTTTCTGACATGGTTTCCCCCCTTGTCATTGGTGCAGTACGGATGGCCTGACAAGGAAAACTGGCTAGTTGTTCGAATGGTATGGAAAACCAAGTTCCCATGTATACATTGGCATGCACGTAAAAGATCCCTTGACAGTTGGAATTTGATATAGGCCATAGTGTTGCAGCCCGGGCAAAATTTCACTCATAGTACACCTGTTAAATCTGATTAAAACACAGATCCTATTTCGTTTTGTTTTTTATAGTTCAAAATTTCATTTTACTTGTCTTCACTACACTAGGATCTGGAAGAGTTGTTATATAACCTGTGTTCTGGTTAATGTGAGGAATTAGCCAATGAAATGGTCTGTTACAGCGAGTTCTTGGCATACTGTCCACGGAACTGTGGGTAAACCACTACAAACATCAACGCTGGATGATTAATCAATGTCTGATGTGATAGGGTCAAAAGCCGCTCATATGACCTCTGATGCGACCTCCCACTACAACCAGTCAGATCTTCATATAATGTAGACCATAGAAAATATAAAAAACACAAAACGAAATATAGATCTGTATTTTGTATCAGTAATTAAAAACATGGGGTGTGTGCGCTTTAGATGATAAGGTCTGTCATGGGGTTGTGTGGTTTCGATTCCCACACTTGTACGTGACAAGGAGTAGGGCCACCTGTCCAATTTCGTGGGTTTTCTCCAGTTTCCTCCCACTACTAAAGTCTCCTAAATTTGAACCATATATTAATCCCGAAATGGCCTAGTTTGTGTGGAGTGGACATTAAACTCTCTTTCTCTCTCTCTCTCTCTCTCTCTCTCTCTCTCTTATAGTTCTCAAATAACCTAGTTTGTGTCCTGGACATTAAACTCTTAAGGAAGAGGGGTTTAATATAGGCTATGCCTGTTCCCCAATACCTATTCAGATAAAATATTGCTTATAAAAAATAAAAAAAAACATCTCTTTCTCTCTCTCTCAAATACATGTAGGTTAGTCCCGAAAAGACCTAGTGACCTCATTTGTGTGAGTGGACATTAATCTCTCTCTGTCTCTCTCTCTCTCTCTCTCTCTCTCTCTCAAATACATGTAGGTTAGTCCCGAAAAGACCTAGTGACCTAATTTGTGTGAGTGAACATTAATCTCTCTCACACTCTCTCTCTCTCTCTCTCTCTCTCTCTCTCTCTTCATACAAATTGATATGAAAATGGTAACATACATGTACATTTACAATTATTAAAGTGATAAAAAGTATACATACATGTACTTGTAAAATAACATTATACATACATTTACAATTATTAAAGTGATATAATGACAGATGTTGTCATTATTATATTTTTATATGTCACCTATATATACATAAAAATTAATGTAATTTTACTATAGATGTGTCTTGTTTATCACAAGTTATTGTATGGTTATAAACAAGGAAATACTAGCAGTTATTGTATGTTTATTGTTACATACTGTAATAATAGTAACAGGTTTCTTAACACGTTGTCGCCAGTCCAAGCTCGTGGGTTTTCTCTGGATAGGGTCGCCTGTCTAACCTCGTGGGTTATTGAAATAAAATTGTACCATATGTTAGTCCCGAAATGACGTGGTTTGTGTCGAGTGGACGTTAAAAACCTCTCTCTCTCTCTCTCTCTCTCTCTCTCTCTCTCTGATAGGAATATTGTTTTATCATCTTTGTGGTTTTTAAATAACATGTCAGTCTAAAATGGTGATATTGTGTTTAATAGAAAAATATCTTCCGATTAACCTAAGTCTCTTCACAGTATGAAGGGGTTGAGGGTGAATGGTCTTGTTGATTAACATGTTTTTATGATTATTATTTTCAGGTCGTTTAGTAAATACATTAGGACAACATAAAGGTCCAATATTTGCCTTAAAGTGGAATAAACGGGGAAATTATATTTTAAGTGCTGGTGTAGATAAAGTAAGTATACTCGTACGATCTGAGAAATATCTTTCTCTAGGGTTAGGGTTCGGGTTAGGTTTATAAATTACATGTCAAACGTACAAATTGAAGCTGTAAAACCGGTGGATTGTGAGTAAAACTATTCTGAAGGGTTAGGGTTAGAACTGTGTGATAAACATGGAAAGATATTTTCCAGATCGGTCAAGATCCAGTATCGTGCTTCGACTCAAGCCTGGAAATAAGGCACCTGTCACAGACAATGTCAAACACAGATTCAGGCTTTGTCAGACACCAAACCTCTGGTGCCTGTCATTTTGTCTTTTTTATTGATACTATGAATACACCTCCAGCACTAAGTTGAAAATGTCAGGTTCTATTTCATTAGTGCCTGACATTTTCTCAGGTACATTTAAAACCTTTATTTACTGGTCTGATATTCGTCTAAAATAAAATTGGAAAATCCCAAATTGACTATTCGATTATTTCTTTAAAAAGAATTTACGTCCACGGAGTAGGCCAATTTGCATTAATCATTGAACAGTATAGGTCAAAATTGAAAGTAAAGTTAGTAAACTTCTAGTTTTCCTGAGGAAACTAAATTTTTGTTGTATGAAATTTGCCCAAACTAATAAATCCAAGATCAGATCAATGCAATAAAAGATAAAGATCGAGCCATTCTTGCTATAATAGTTCGAAAATAGTTCATTTAGATTACTTTATTCTGAATGAAGATATTACCCTTTAAAGTTTTGACAAGATGTGAGCACAGATTGTAACCACCGTACTGGTTGTTCAAGGCTAAGCCTTGTTTCACCATTTTTGCGGTAAATCATTAAATGGCTGAACTGTTCTAATCTACTTAAAATCAATCCTATCTGATGGCCCTCCGTCTTCATTAGCCCAGTATAGGAGCAGAACAGTAGGACGTTAAATCCCATTTCATTTCATTTCCTATCTGATGGCATTCAGACTTAATTATGGTATGGTCATGTAAATGAATGTCTAATTAATAGTTTATATAACATTTAACGTCTAAAGAAAGACCTGCAATAGGCAGATTTAGCTCTTACATGTACATAATGTAGGTTTAAATATAGATAATTATTTGGTATTGGAAAATTGATTAAAGGATGTTTCGTATATATATAATATATACATGTACCTCGAGTTGATTGGTTGGATGTTTAAACAGCCATTACCATAGAGGTTTCAAAGAAGCTCTCTTTAAAATTTAAACCATTGATAAGTCGATTCTGATAATTGTAAACAGATTATGGTATTTTTTCTATCCACACACCCCTTTTGAAATAAACTCATCCAGTCTTATTGACAATTGTATCCAGATATTCTAAACGTCTTGTCATTCTTGTGGAAATGCCAGGAACATAATTAGCAAGAAAACAGAGCAGGCTGGAAGCAGATATACCGTTTCTATATGTAGTTTTATTATGCGATGATTTGAGAAGCTGGTTACAGCTGTTATTATTGTTGATGTTATTCGGGCCAGCGTTAGTTTGCCGTGGTACGAAAATAGCTTGATCTACCTGCTGGCTGATTACCCGACTTTCTTGGGGTGTAATGTCTTTATCATACTTGGTGCGATGTATTTAAGGAGCACTCAACCGTTCTTAATTTAACACCTGTTTACTGTAAAATCAAATGGAAGGAGGGTTGGTTGGCCGAATGTGGTTTAATTTTAATTCTCTGCTTGTACATGACAAGGAGGGGGGTTGGATGGCCGAATGGTTAGCATGTGCGTGCTGTATCATAAGGCCTGTCATTGAGTCAACTGGCGTGGTTTCAAATCCCCGGTTGTACATGACAAGGAGTAGGGTTGCCTGTCCAACCTTGTGGGTTTTCATCCGGGTCCTCCGGTTTCCTCCAACTGCTAAAGACCCCTACGCTCAAGCGAATTAATGAAATAAAATTAACCGTATGTTAGTCCCGAAATGACCTATTTTGTGTTGAGTGGACATTAAACCCCATGTCTCTCTCTCTCACATGACAAGGAATAGGGGGAGTTTGCCGATTGGTTTAATGCATATGCTTTATATCACAAGGTCTGCCATTGTGTCAGGTGGTTTAACCCGTTAAGCGTGACGTTTTTAAAACGTTAACTACCCCCTATTGTGTAATTAATTTGACGAAGTGACGAAGAACTATGTACTATGTTCTAAGAAGAGGTTGGGGAAATACCTCCAAGGCGTTATATTACGCCCTACACACAGTGAGTAGCAGTTGTCCAGGACGTAATATAACGTCCTACACATGCTGCGATCGTGGGGGAATTCCCAAGGGATTGCCCCCAAGTGACAAACTATGTTCTAAGAATAGGTAGGGGAAAATACCTCCAAGGCGTTATATTACGCCCTATACACTTTTGAGTGGCAGTTGTCCAGGACGTTATATAACGTCCTATGCACATAACAGGTTAATTTCAATTTTCCTCTTGTTCTTGACAAGGAATAGGGTTGCCTGTTCAACCTCAAGGGTTTCTCTGCGTCCTCTGGTTTCCTCCAAGAGAATTATTAAGATATGATTAAACCATTTATTAGTCCCGAAATGACCTAGTTTTTGTGTGTGTGTGTGTGTCTCATTCACAAATGGTGGTGTTAAAATACATGAAAGTCTTGACGGAACAGTTTTGGCAATTGACTAGCGTGGTTCCCTTAAAACAAATAAGCTATCTAGTCGTTCGAATGGGACAGAAAAAAAAAACGAGGTCCCTTGTATACATTAGCATGCACGTAAAAAAATCCCTTGGCAGTTGGAATTCGATATAAAAGTAGGCCATAGTGCCACTCCCCGGGCAAAATTTCCCTCATAGCACACTCTATGGCATATGCCCGTCTTCATTAGCCCAGTAGGAGCAGAACAGTAGGACGTTAAACTTCATTTAATTTCAAATCTGAGATTCTCTTTAAAGTGAACATTGGGTGTAAGATAATGATAAATGACTTACACTGAAACACTTGTTTACATCACCAGTAAGATAAGACTGTATATATGTTATATTATCTATCTTTACTTACATACCTTTAACATGTTTCTGGTACAGCCTTTATACCTGGCACATATTACAGGTGTGTTATATACCATCAATATAGGTTACTACATTATTACTTCACCAGGTGTAACAGTCTTTACATACCTGGCCACTTAATTTACATATAGATACATTTTGTTGTACATTATTACATTTTAAAAAGAACAAATTCAATTCTGAGATGTTTTTATGAGGTATGTGTATACAGTGTTCTGGAATTAGAAAGACAAATTATTTGCCTTTAAATTTTAAAGAGACAGAATGTTAATTTTAAAAGTCAGAAGTCATCTACGAAGTTAGAGCGAAATCATTCTTTAGCTTGATAAAGATGAGATAATGTTTGTTGTAAAGTTGCCTAGTTATAATAAATCCAGTAATTTTATTTCCAGACTAATTTATTTTGTGTCAATATGTTCAAATGTACATGTACTAAATGCCAATTAAATATACATTATGCAAGAGCTAAATCTGCCTATTGCAGGTCTTTCATTAGGCCTGAAATGTTATCTAAATTATTAATTAGACATTTATTAACAAAACAAGACCATAATCAACTCTCAATGCCATCTTTCATTGGATTTGAATCCGATCTGCTGCTCGATGCTCATTGATGGTTAATGCAAATGAAAAAAAAAATATCATGATAGGCTGAATATAGCCTGTAGACGCAGCGTATCATTGAATCAACTGGTGAGGTTTTTATTCCCCGGTTGTACGTGACAAGTATTAGGGTCGTGTCGTGGATGTTGAACCCCATTTATCTCTCTCTAAATACAGCTGATGGAGTTTGCTTTAAACCAGAAAGTTTTTTTCATAAACCTAACGATTTTTTTTCCAGAGCTGAGACCCTTGTTTCAATTTGTAGAACCTTGTGAACCCTCAAACGGCAAGAATTATAACCTTTTCTGTATGGAACTGTCTTGTAAAGGCCCCCAATTACCTACAAAGGAATAAATATGCGACAACCCTTGTCGACTGCTCGGACGATTTAGCTGCTGTGGGCGTATGTTTCGTTTCCTGGCAACCTATCTTTTTATTTCTTGCTCTTTTCTTTCAGACAACTATTATCTGGGATGCTAGCTCAGGTAGCTGTCAACAACAATTCGCATTTCATTCTGGTAAGTTCAGTTTATTTATTTGTGTTATATGCTTGATAGGGAGCCACGGTGGCTAAGTGGGTAAGATGCTGGCTCGCTAGCCTGGAGGTCAGGTGTTTGATCCCTGCATTGGCCGAGAAAGTTCATCCTGACTTTCCATCATGGTTTCCCCTTGTTAGTGGTGCACAACGGAGGGCCTGACAAGAACAGCTGTCTAGTCCTTCGGATGAAACGAAAAACTGAGGTCCCGTGTATACATTAGAATGCACGTAAAAGATCCCTTGGCAGTTGGAATTCGATATAAGAGTAGGCGATAGTGCTGCTGCCCGGGCAAAATTTTCCTCATAGCACACTGTATGGCGTATGCCCGTCTTCATTAGCCCAGTATAGGAGCAAAACAGTAGGACATTAAACCCCATTTCATTTCATTTCATTTCATTTATATGCTTGATAACAACTTGTCAAATCCTGGCAGTGAAATAAACCATAGTAATTGTTATCCATAAATAGTGTATTATTCGATTATGTTCTTTACCTTCACCTACTGCACCCTGTAAAATATGTAAATCAAATATATCCAGTCGTCTAACTTCTCAATGATCATTATTCATGGAAGCGATTTTACATAAGCAGCAATGTTTGTTATTGTATTATCTGTGACTCACTAAGAAATAAAATATTGTTTAAACCATTATGTTCCAATTACTAAATTCCCTCCATTTTAAATCACCAATATTGAGATTAATTTATAAAAACAGTGTTAAAACATAAACTATTACATATTACACAGTCGGTAATTAGCCGATAAGTGACTTTATGGGTAATATTTTTATATCTGGCTGTTGTATTTATATTGACCAATATGTTTAGCTGTCGACATCTGATATTAGTAAAACCAATAGGACCTATATCAGTACATCACTTTACTACGATATTATGGCCAATTATAAACTTATTGATTTCTGACAAACATCCATATATCTCAAATACAATGTTTGAAAGCTCTAATCATTCAATTAGTTGGTAAATGTCATTATTGAGATGTATAAAGAATGAACATTATTTGGAAATATTGCAAGTACCAAGGCTTAAACTGCTAGGGGATTAGATGGTCGAATGGTTAGCACACGCGTGTTGTATTATAAGGTCTGTTATTGAGTCAGCTGGCGTTGTTTCAATTCCCCAGTTTTAAGTGACAAGGAGTAGGGTTGCCTGTCGAGCCTCATGGGTTTTCTAAATTAATATACAGTCTCATTATCGATCAGGATAAATTATTCTGGCTTAGACTTTAGACTTAGTTACACTTTAAATATAGTATATATCGTACTTTAAACATTCTTATAAATTCAGATCAATGAACTTACAATATCATCGATTAAATACAGAATATACAAATCTGGGACGGCTACTCGCCACTCATAGATTTCTAATTTTATTTACAGAATATACAATACGTGTCGATTGGATTATAGAGTACATAATGTTGTGAAAATCTAATATATATGTAAATGAAGACGACACAAAACATAATATCTGAATATATTAAATTATTTTTAGAGAGTGGAGTATTATTTCACATAACTGTAAAGTGCATTATACATGGGTGCCCTATTGACCTGATAATATGTGTGGCCTATACTTCAGTCTAAACAGCTACGATAAATTAGGTCAAACTGTCTGATGATATAATGATCCAGCCCCTGGAAAAATGTCAGTTTTACCATTGGTGGTCACTCGAATACAAAAATGGCAAAAAGAGTAATGAATTATGATGGCTTTATTTATTTATTCAACATGTACATGTAGTTATCTGCCTTAAATCACAATGGCTAACCAGAGACAATTACATTAAAGTCATTTGCATTTTTATACACCCCCATTTTCATGTGGACTTAATTGTCGTCGCCCTGATCAGTCCGTCCATTCGTCCATCCACAGTTTGTTTGCAGGAAATCCTTAGTCAATGAATTTTTCAGGTCTAGTCGTCGGTTGTTGGGGTTGATGGGCATAAGAATAATATACCTAGTCATTCGGATGGGGTGAAAACCCAAGGGGCAGCGAAAACACTTTTTTGCGTACACAAAAGAACCAGTGATTCCCATTGCTTTACCTGCAAAATTCTCCTCCTCCCTTGCACAAATAACCAAAGATAATCACATGTCGGTCCCAAAATGGCTGAAGTTTTGCTTCAAGATCTTAATCTTTATTTTATTTGTAACATAGTTTTTAACTTTGTAAATGTTGTTTTATTTTAGCCCCTGCGCTGGACGTAGATTGGCAGTCTAATATTAGCTTTGCATCCTGTTCAACAGATCAGTGTATTCATGTTTGTCGACTAGGACACGACCGACCCATCAAAACATTCCAAGGACACACTGTAAGTTTTTTTTTTTCATGGTTTATTTTGTCTGTTAATGTGCTGATTGTGGGGTTGGATGGCCGAATGGTTAGCACGTGCGTGCTGTATCATAAGGTCTGTCATTGAGTCAACTGGCGTGGTTTCGATTCCCCGGTTGTGCGTGACAAGGATTAGGGTTGCCTGTCCAACCTCATGGGTTTTCTCCGAGGCCTCCGGTTTCCTCCCACTGCTAAAGACCTCTACGCTCAAGCAAATGATGGAAATAAAATTGAACCATATGTTAGTCCCGAAATGACCTAGTTTGTCGAGTGGGCGTTAAACCCCCATTTCTCTCTCTCACTTTCCTAACTTATATTTCAATATTTTGTTTCAGAATGAGGTTAATGCTATAAAATGGGAACCACAAGGCAATTTATTAGCATCCTGTTCAGATGATATGACATTAAAAGTAAGTAGTGAGAAGGAACGAGACTTCAACCTGTCAGACAGAATTCGTTACCGTTAATTTTTACTTGTCGTGTAAACCAGTTGCCTGTGTTCGCTGCCTACTACTGATCTATGTGATAAACACGTAGTCTCACAGCTGTCACCATGATTCTGGTTAATCAAGGCTTTACTTGGTCAACTCTTAATATTATTAATTACATGATGCTGACATTAATTATATTATCTATATTAAATATTAAATATCATATTAATCCTTATAAGAGATATTGAAATAGATATCACTAAAATTAAAAAACTTATATGAATGTACTACTTCTGAATTTTATTAGTACCATTTAATATAGATAATACCATATTTAATATATAGATAATATCATATTTAAAATTATAACAATTATATGGATGTACCACTTCTGAATTTTATTAACATGCTAAGTTTCAATACACATTCAGAAGTAGTACATCCATATGAGTGTTATAATTTTAAATATGATATTATCTATATATCTATATTAAATGATACTAATATTAGATATATTATCTATATTAAATATGATATTATCTATATTGAATGGTACTGATATTAAATATATTATCAATGTTAAATATGATAATTATGTTAAATATGATATTATCTATGTTAAATATGATATTATCTATGTTAAATATGATATTATCTATGTTAGATATTATATTATCTATGTTAGATATGATATTATCTATGTTAGATATGATATTATCTATATTAAATGGTATTGATATTAAATATGATATTATCTATGTTAAATATGATATTATCTATATTGTAGATATGGAGTATGAAACAAGAAACCTGTGTTCATGATTTACAAGCTCATAGTAAAGAAATTTATACCATTAAATGGAGTCCGACGGGACCCAACACAAATAATCCTAATGCTTCTTTAATTTTAGCCAGGTAACAACTCTATTATGTTTTTGAAATAATTTGATACGGAGACAACTCCTTGACAATTATTGACCAATCAAAATGGTTTTATATATTCTCAATGCATAGGGTTAACATATGAAGTCCAAGCTTCAGTTGAAGTCACAGAAGCTACAGAGGGTGATATCATAGACAAGTGGTCTTATTTTTTTGTACACGGTACACACGCAGGGATCTTTCTTGTGGGAGGAAGGAAACCAAAGTAAACCCACGAGGTTGAAACACCACATATCTGGGCTGCTCCCACAAAACCAGGCTCTTGGTCATTTTTCTGAAAGTAGAGCAGGTAGCATATTTGAGTAGTCCACAGGATAAGCTTTCCAAAATGCAATTCTTCTTAAATTTGTTGTATCATCTGGAGTTTGGATCATTCACAACAACAAGAAGGCATACAGTTTAAGCTTTTGTTCCCATAGTACAAAATGAATTTGTACAACAAGCACCTAGTGTCACATATGCTCACGCTGTGGCTTAAAACCACATCGTCAAGCCAGAGATGATCAACCAGATAGATCTTGAAGCGTTACACCCTCTAGAGACCACTAACTAAATATAGATTGTAATTATGTTGGTATGGCATCAGGATTTTCCGCCGTTGTTTCCCCTTGTCAGTGGTACAGGAGGGAGGGCCTGACAAGGAGAGCTGTCTAGTTGTTTGGATGAGACGAAAACCCAAGGCATGTGTACACATTGGCATGCATGTAAAAAAACCTTTGGCAGTTGGAGTTCGATATAAGAGTAGACCATAGTGCAAAATTTCCCTCATAGCACACTGTATGGCATATACCTGTCTTCATTAGCCCAGGTTAGGAGTGGAACGTTAAACCCCATTTGATGTTTGTATGATTGTATTTCAGTGCATCATTTGATTCGACAGTAAGATTATGGGAAGTAGAGAGGGGAACATGTCTACATACATTAACTAAACATCAAGAACCAGTATATAGTGTAGCGTTTAGTCCAGATGGTAGATATTTAGCTAGTGGATCATTTGATAAATGTGTACATATATGGAATGTTCAAGTAAGTAAAAACGATCAATATTTTATCGCGGAATGGTTGTAATACAGATCTATATTTTGTTTCGTTTTTTTATACTTTCGATGGCCTACACTACATGAAAATCTAATTGGTTGTAGTGATAGGTCGCGTCAAAGGTCATACGAGCTGCTTTTGACCCTATGACGTCAGATATTGATTATTCGACCATCATTGACGTTTCTAGTGGTTTACCCACAGTTTCGTGCATGGCACACCAAGAAGTCGCAATAACAGACCGTTTTATTGGCTAATCCCTCACCTCGATCAAAACGCTGGTAATATAACAACTCTTCCATATCCTAGCTAGTGTAGTAAAGACAAGGTAAAATGAAATTTTGAACTATAAAAAACGAAACGAAATAGGATCTGTGTTTTAACCAGATTGATGTAAATAACTATCCTTTCCTGACTGGATGAGCATCTGTGCACGTCCAAATTATTGCAGAGTCTGTTATTTAAATAAGCATATTGTTTGTTAGTAAATTGTCATGTTCCTGAAGCAACGGCCGTGAGTTTTATAACATCTAGACGTTGCTAGACTGGTCTGCAATTCTCGAACTTATAGCTATGTTATCTCCCTTTAATGCAGACATGTGAACAATAGTGTTGTCTAATCAGAGGTAACACAAACACATTCAAATCAAACTTGGCGACCTCCACGGAAACCTTGACATTGAACGAACCTTGAACTTTGCAACTCGATTATCACAGGTGGACATTGTAGCCGGAAGGCGCAAGACTTGGTATTCTTGGTGATATTTTCTATCGAGGAATCTAAGAGGTCCCCAGTTGGGTTAATACCCAATCGAAATATGCCAGGTATTACGTGAAGGCCTTGATTATATGTACTGAGTTATAGCGAGATCAAGTCTTCTATTGAAGATGGTAAATTTTAGGCCTGAAAAGGGCTGTAGGTCTGTATTGAGTTAAGGTGTCAACTTGATGTAATTTTGGGTGTGAAATGGGGGTTTAAATTCTACACCGACGGGACTAATGAAGACGGGCATTCACCATACAGTGTGTTATTAGGGAAATTTTACCCAGACCGAGGTGTTGCAGCCTTCTCTATTTAGATTTACAACTGTCATTGGTTTTTTTACGTGCCTTTAATGTGTACATAGGACCTCAGTTTTTTGTCCCATCCAAACGACTAGGCACTGTCCATGCCAGGTCCTGCACCGCTGACAGGGGGGAATCATACATTAAAATCCAGAGGAACTTTCTCAGCCGTCACCAGGAGTAAACCCAAGACTTCCTGGTTGCCAGTGTCAGCGTGAAATTTCCCTCATAACAAATTGTATGGCACACACCTGTCTTCACACACCTGTCTTCACACACCTGTCTTCATTAACCCAGTCGGAACAGATAAATAGGATGTTAAACCCCATTTCATTTCTCCAACCTCGTGGGTTTTCTCCTGGTCCTCCGGTTTCCTCCCACAGCTAAAGACCCCTACGCGCAAGCGAATTATGTAAATAGTTTGTGTCGAGTGGACGTTAAACCCCATTTCTCTCTCTCTCTCCCATTTCATTTCAATGAGACTAATCTAATGAGAGCAATTTATTCTATGGTGGCTGTTAGCGGCCATTCAAATGAATCTAAATCGTCGCCTTGTGAAGAAGGCGACAAGTCGACAAAATCAACCCACCAACACGACAAAATAACCCGACGATCGTCGCCTCCATTTCGTCGACTTGTCGGGTCAATTCTGTTGACTTGTCGCCTTCGACTTATTCACAACCCGACAAATCGACAATTATTTCGACTTGTAGTGCGGCGACTTGTCGCCTCGGAAGTCAAACTCGAGCTTGTGCATTTGCTGATTGGATAACTTGCATGCGCACAAATTGCTTTCCGAGGCGTCAAGTCGCCGCACGACAAGTCAAAATAATTGTATTTTGTCAACTTGTCGGATTGTGAATAAGTTGACACGACAAGTCGACGAAATGAAGGCGACGATCGTCGGGTTATTTTGTCGTGTTGGCAGGTGATTTCGTCAACTTTTCGCCTTCTTCATAAGGTGATGATTTAGATGACATTTGAATGGCCGCTAACAGCCACCAAAGTCTGGATCACTTAACTAATCAGTCACAGTTCTAAATACAAATCAATGTCTAAATATAGTTCCATTTTCATTTAAATGTTCTGAAAGAGAGTATTTGATTGTCATTCCAAGATTAATTAGTGGTAACTACAGCCCGTTAAATGGAAGATCACTCCATCCTTCAAAGGCTTGCTGACAGGCATCTGTCTCATAAATAAACATTCGATAGTGTTTCTCATGGTTACATACTTGATAGCCGTGTCTAGTGTTCATTTCCTGTTGTCAAGAAACCTTCAATGGAGTTACTTCCCTTGATCACATAAAATATGAACAAGCGGAAATTATTGACTATGAATAAAAAATAAAAACGTATCATGCGGACCATTTTTGATGACGCAGCGTTATCTGAAAACCAGAATATTTATTTTGTGTGTTGCCTTATATTAAAGTTGGGTTGTAACTCGTTTAATAAATAAATTAAACTTATATATTTATTTGTTTATAGAGTGGCAGTTTAGTTCATAGTTATCGAGGTACAGGGGGAATATTTGAAGTTTGTTGGAATCATAGAGGTGATAAAGTTGGTGCCAGTGCTTCAGATGGTTCTGTAAGTATAAATATATACGTAATACATCTATATCTCTCTATTTCTTAGGGGGTTAGATGGCATGGTTTTAATTCCCCGGTTGTTCGTGACAAGGAGTAGGATCGCTTGTCCAACCTCGTGCGTTTTCTCCGAGGCTTCAGGTTTCCTCCCACTGCCAAAGTCCCCTACACGCAAGCAAATTATTGAAATAAAATTAATACCATATGTTAGTCCCGAAATGACCTAGTTTGTGTCAAGTGGATGTTAAACCCCATTTCTCTTTATATATTAAACTGGATAAAGGGTTGAAATTAGAATTGTTGCTATCATTGAGTCCCCAAAAGAACTTGACAGTACCATACAGTTATTCAAGGAGCCACAGGGACTCAGTGAGCATGGAGCAGGCTCATTACTGATGAGATTCCAGAGTTTTCAGCCTGGTTTCTTCTTGTCATTGGTGCATGACTGCGATCCCAGCAGGGAAAAGCATTTATGGGATGAAAAAGCATGCACATTTGAATTCAAAATTTCCCTGATAGCACACTATCTTGTATCTTTTGTATGATGGAAAAATGAATTCTATTTAAGAAAAAATTTTATTTCATATTTCAGGTTTTTGTATTGGATTTACGGAAATAGGAATTATATTCTAGATATGGGTTTTAACTTGGTGCGTCTATAAATCTGTCACTGCTGCTGATTGGAAGAAAAACACATGAATAGTTGCCAAAATCTCACTCTTCCTGTGAACAACAACCGACCACTATGAATGGTACAGTGACGTGAAAAAAAATTAGCACAAATCAGCTGGGAATATATTCAGTTCAAAGGTCAAAGGTCATGACCCCCAACCCGCCAGGGAATCAAGTGCTGAAGGATGAAATACGATGGAGTGACATATCACTCGATATCATCACATCCAGAATCGCCCCATACCAGATATAAGTACGAAACAATGTACCACATAAACCAACAGATTGCTACGGAAAGCGTTCCAGATAACGAAAGTCGGCCATCTTGATAATGAGGGTGCTTTGATGTTTAGCATATTTGCTCACGTCGTCGCAGCTTAAGCTTTCCATGGAAGCCTGCTTCAAAAGCCTTAAGACATTACATGTTGTTTTCTTTAGATTAGTAAATGTTTCTTTAAAAAAAGACGTTTGATTTTTTTTTTTTTTTTTAATAGTCGTAAAATCTTTTATTTTTTTAAAAAAAATAATTAAACATAATGTTATTTCTCTTCAATTCGAAATGTTAAAATTGTTAACAATAAAAAATTCAAATTATTTTCATAAATTTTCTTTTATTTTCAATGTTATAAAATAGAAAAGTTTTCTTTTTCAAATAATTTATATGTGGATAAAAGTTGAATAGGGCAGTGTGTTAACTATTTTAAGATATGGTAAGAAGAATGGCTAGAAAGTATTAATGTGTTTGTGATATAACTTCTCTATGATGATAATCTGTAAAAAAAAAAATATGTCTGAAAACCGAACTTTTCAATTGATAATTGAGAATGTTTTCAAAAGTTAAAATGAAAGATAGTGTACTGAAATGGAGGAAGCAACAGGAAAAAATTACATTTTTTTAAAAATTATTTAGTAATTGACGGTTTCCGAAAGTTAACAGAACACAATTTTTATGGGAAAGTTAGTAGACGATGATATTGAAAATATCTACGATAGAAGAAACTTAGGCCTTCTGGAAAATCGTTATCCAGAATAAAGAAAATATTTGGATAAGCCTTATGAAAGTAATGAATGATTGATTGTATCGGTAGTAGTAGTAGATTTTTCTTTTTAAAAGAAATTGTTTTGTTGATTTTATACTGTTAAATATCATCATTAATGTTTAATACTTTTATTGAATCATTCTTATACTTTCAAATTTTTTCCCGTTTTAATATTTTTTTTTATAAATAATTACCTTTTCTTTGTAGATCTATTTGGGTCATTCATTAATTTACAACCAATTTAACTCATTCTTGTAAAATGACCGATACTGTTGAAAATAACAATCATTACATACTTTTTCCTAGTCGCTTAGAAATATTTGATAGGTTTAATTGAAAAAGAAATATTTGATAGGTTCAATTGGAATATTTGATAGGTTTAATTGAAATATTTGATAGGTTTAATTGAAAAAGAAATATTTGATAGATTCAATAGAAATATTTGATAGGTTCAGTTGAAATATTTGATAGATTCAATAGAAATATTTGATAGGTTCAGTTGATATATTTGATAGGTTTAATTAAAATATTTGATAGATTCAATTGAAATATTTGATAGGTTCAGTTGAAATATTTGATAGGTTCAGTTGAAATATTTGATAGATTCAATAGAAATATTTGATAGGTTCAGTTGAAATATTTGATAGGTTCAGTTGAAATATTTGATAGATTCAATAGAAATATTTGATAGGTTCAGTTGAAATATTTGATAGATTCAATAGAAATATTTGATAGGTTCAGTTGAAATATTTGATAGGTTCAGTTGATATATTTGATAGGTTCAATTGAAATATTTGATAGTTTTAGGTTCAATTGAAATATTTGATAGGTTTAATTAAAATATTTGATAGGTTCAATTGAAATATTTGATAGGTTCAGTTGAAATATTTGATAGTTTTAGGTTCAATTGAAATATTTGATAGGTTTAATTAAAATATTTGATAGGTTCAATTGAAATATTTGATAGGTTCAGTTGAAATATTTGATAGATTCAATTGAAATATTTGATAGGTTCAGTTGATATATTTGATAGGTTTAATTAAAATATTTGATAGATTCAATTGAAATATTTGATAGGTTCAGTTGAAATATTTGATAGGTTCAGTTGAAATATTTGATAGATTTAATTAAAATATTTGATAGGTTTAATTGAAATATTTGATAGATTTAATTGAAATATTTTTGAGCTCTTTGTTTTAAATATTGACAACTACTGTACAGAAAGACTCAACCAATATAGATGATAACTCACTGATCATTTTCCTATTTCATTTATATTTCCGAAAATTATAAAAAATACTGGGTTTTTTTTGTCAAATTTCATACAAAAATTTTACAATTGTGAGAAAAGACAGAAGGACTGTTTGTTGTACAATTTGTTAATTGTACAATTACAGAGAACAAGTGCATGTATTTATAAATATCCACCTCAACATAAAGAAATGGACTGAATGTACAGAGAGACTATATTTTCTTTAATAAAAAAAAATTAGATAAGCGAAAAAAATGATTTGTGCTTATATGGAGCCTGCGTACAGAACTAAGTGCCAGATTGAAGTGTTCATGTTGCGTGGAACAGACTCAAGTGATTGTTTAAATTCGTGAATGTGACGCTTATTGGATGTGGTCTGTAATCCGTTCATGTGTTTCTATAAAAAGCAGCCATCTTATGAAAAAAGATTTTGGGTGACGTTACTGAAAGGGAGTTAACACGAAAATCCCCAAGACTGTTTTTAAATGTGCAGCACTCCCCTCAGTGAAAAAATATGTCGTTATTGGATGTACATATGTCTCAAATTTTGTCCAAATGAGACTTTTTGTATCATGTTGAGATGTTTATCAAAAAAACAAAAAAATAAAAAATAAAATATTGTGATTTGTTGCTTTGATTTCCCTTGAGGATTGAGAGTGAGATTTTAGTCATGGTACTAGTGGTCACTATGGAAATCAGCTTTCTATTCTAGACTACGCATACGTGCTAACCATTCGGCTATCCAATCCAGCTTTCTATTCTTCGCTGGGGGGTTGGATGGCTGAATGGTTAGCACGTGCGCACTGTATCATAACGTCTGTCATTGAGTCAACTAGCGTGGTTTTGAATCCCTGGTTGTAGTGGCAAGGAGTAGGGTCGCATGTCCAACTTCGTGGGTTTTCTCCGGGTCCTCCGGTTTCCTCCCACTGCTAAAGACCCCTACGCGCAAGCGAATTATGTAAATAAAATTAAACCATATGTTAGTCCCAAAATGACCTAGTGGACGTTAAACCCCATCTCTCTCTCTCTCTCTCTCTCTCTATTCTAATAATAGCTTGGGATGGAGGAGGGATCTGACAATAAAATCAAGTGTCGGTGTACACTTTGGAGTGCGTGTAAAAGAATCCTTGAATTCATGCGTGCTGTCCGGGCAAAATTCCCTCATAGCAAACTGTATAGCATATACCCGTCTTCATTAGCTTGGGTGGTGCAGAAATGTAGGAAGTTAAAGGGTGGGGGGGGGGATGGCCGAATGGTTTGCGTGTGCGCGTTGTATCATAAGGTCTGATATTTAGTCAACTGGTGTGGTTTCGATTCCCCGGTTGTATGTGACAAGGAGTAGGGTCGCCTGTCCAACATCGTGGGTTTTCTCCAGATCCTCCGGTTTCCTCCCACTACTAAAGACCCCTACACGCAAGCGAATTATTGATATAAAATTGAACCCTGTTAGTCCCGAAATGACCTAGTTTGTGCCAAGTGGACCTTAAACCCCATTTCTCTCACTATGATGACTATCTCACTGCTTATTTTTATACGCCCACATTGAAATGTGGTCGTATATTGTTGTCGCCCCCCGTCCGTCCGGGTGGATGCTCTAGAGGCTAAATTTATACACAGTGAGTGTTTAAGGTTATGAGACAAAGAAGTCTATTGATTACAGTGATTTCCGATAATTACTGCCAGAGTTATGGCCCTTGATCACTTCAAAAAATCTTGTGGACGCTCTAGAGGCTAAAGTTAATATCCGGTTGACTTTAGATTTATGCACAGTGTTGAAGTTCATGAGACCAAGAAGCCTTTTGATTTTCAGCGATTTCCGATAATTACTGCCAGAGTTATGGCCCTTGATCACTTCAAAATATCTTGTGGATGCTCAAGAGGCTAAAGTTATCGTCTGATTGACTTCAGATTGATACACAGAGTTTAAGATCTTGAGACGAACAAGTATATTGATTTTCAATGAATTATGATAACTTGAACAGCTAAATCCATGATATTAAATGTTTCGTATACTAAACGTTAGCATGGGGCAGAACTTTATAAAAACCTAACAAATTCTAATGGTTTTCTGATAATTACTTAACGAGTTGTTACTCTTAATCAAATTTTAGTGTATCATAAATGTTTCATGACTGAAAAAAGTAAAAATATGCGACAACTCTTGTTGACTGCCCGGACGAATGAGCTGCTGTGATCGTATGTTTCGTTGCCTGGCAACCTATCTTTATTCTAGCCTATTCTAATAACTGAATGAAACTACCAGGTCTTGTGGAAAGTTAACATCAGGAAAAACGAACCTTACATAATAGTTTTATCCTTGCATTCGGGGAATCATTCCTCAAATTACTGTGCTAGTGCAAGGGAAGCAACTGTGTAATTTTGAGTTCCACGCTGTATAATATACTGATACATGTAGCTGTCTAGTTATTTGGATGGTATGGAAAACCAAGGTCCCGTGTACACGTAAAAGATGCCTAGATGTTTGGAATTCAATATAAGAGTAGGCCGTTGTACCGCTGTCCAGGCAAAATTTACTTCATAGGACACTGCATGGCATATGCCCGTCTTCATTAGCCAAGTCGGAGCATAACAGTAGGACGTTAAACCCCATTTCATTTCATTTCATTTCATTTCTCTCTCTTGCTCTCTCTCTCTTGTCATTAGCCCAATTGGTGCAGAGCTGTTTCATTTCATTTCTTAATACGGTTAGGACCTGGGATGCTATTTCAAAATTTTGCATGTCGGACATTTTTAGATGGGGGTTAATAAAGCACCCAGATTCAGGTCACCAGAAGACGTTTGTAAGCTTCAGGAAATATGGTTCAATTTTATTTCAGTAATACGCTTGTGCGTAGAGTTCTTTAGCAGTGGGAGGAAACCGGAAGACCCGGAGATAGCATCAATAACTTAGGACTCAAACCAGAAGTCGTTTGTCAGCTTCAGGAAATAAGGTTCAATTTTAGTTCAATAATACGCTTGCGTGTAGGGGTCTTTAGCAGAGGGAGGAAACCGGAAGACCCGGAGATAGCATCAATCACTTAGGACTCAAACCAGAAGTCGTTTGTCAGCTTCAGGAAATAAGGTTCAATTTTATTTCAATAATACGCTTGCGTGTAGGGGTCTTTAGCAGAGGGAGGAAACCAGAAGACCCGGAGATAGCGTCAATAACTTAGGAGTCAAACACTACCCTCACATTAATATCACAATTTATTTCATACAACAGATAGTCACTTACAAAATGTACCGAGAGTCTAACATTTAATATTATACACAGCTACAATTAATAACAATTAATAAAAAATAGCCAGTTAACAAGGAATAATGATTTTACATGTTATAACAATAAATAATAAATTATAACTCAAATAATTAAACATACATTATGGGATCTTAGATAAAGAGCTGGCAATTCTCACTATAATAGTTAAAAACTAGATAATGTAAAGGGAATTTGCTGAAAATTTCAGTCAAATTGATCCACTCTGAACCGAGAATTTAGCAATTGAATTTTAGGCCTAGCCTCGATCACCATTACTAAAGTTGGTCTTGATTATCTATTTTTTGATTCAATCATCAATTAGCGTGTGAGCAGCAGATCAGATTCAAATCCAATAAATATCACAAGAGTTGATTATGGTCTGGATAAGTTAATTAATGTCTAATTAATAATTTAGATAACATTTCAGGCCTAAAGAAAGACCTGCAATAGGCAGATTTAGCTCTTGCATAATGTATGTTTAAAACTTATTAAATAATTTTAAAAAAATGTATTAATAATGACAAATGAAATAATATCTGAAAACTGAAAATGATTTTTGTACAAAATGATCTCAAATTTTATCCTTAACAAAAACATATTAACAATGACAATTAAATAAAATTTGAGAACTGAAAATGACCTTTGTACAAAATGAACACTAAATTTTATCCTTAAAAAAAAAATGTATTAAAAATGGCAATAAAATAAAATTTGGGAACTGAAAATGATCTTTGTACAAAATGAACCCTAATTTTATGTTAAAAACAAAATGCTCTATATTGACAATGTTGAAAGTTAATTTTTTAATTTATCTACAATAATGAATGATGATCAAAATAAATATGAATGAAACGATTCTTTTTTTAAAAACTACCAAAGATTCAAAATGGCACTGATGATTTACACTTTGGCTTACAGCATACAATTTATATTTAATATCGGTCTGATGCTTAGAAATGTACATGCAGCATCGCAATTTCAAGGTTGGAGCAAAAGTTGGGGAGTAACCATTGACGATAGAATACAACCTTCTGAAAATATTAGTTGCCAGGAGACAAAGGGGGCCCACTCGCCAATACAATTCTATCATTGAATTTTTAAAATGAATAAATTAAATTTTCAAAAAATATGTAAATGGAAACAAAAAGATGTAATTAGAATTTTCATGCTAATATATTTTTTTTCCAATATTTATATATTTTTTGATAATTTATATTTTAAATATATTGTCTAATGTCTAAGGGGGCCCACTTCCTTGGGGGCCCACTTGCCATTGATCAAGCTTGCAACCTGGCCAGTCCCCTACTGCAATCTTCACTATAGCAGTCGGATGCTTACATAGTTTAGTATCGCAATTTCAAAGAACTGTTAGAGCAGACGTTGTGGAGTAATCATTGACGATGGAATACAACCTTCACAGTAGAAATCTACAAACAACTTTTCTAAAATATCTAAACATTAACAACATTACAAAATAAATTTTAAGAATTCCTTTACTGTTCAGTAATCATCAAGAAATACAATTTCTTCAAAAACTCCATTTTTAAATGTCGAAACAGCAGGAAGGAATTTGAACCTTAGTGACAGTTGATTTTAGCTATGGCCCTTTAAGTTCAAGACAATCAAAAAAAAAAAAATGTATCAATTTTGGACTTCCATATTCTGTTAATCAGTATAGTAGAAAAGGAAATTTAATACAAGTAAAAGGGGGTTAAATCTGACCTCTTGTTACTTATTGTACGTGACAAGGAGTAGAGTTGCCTGTCCAACCTCGTGGGTTTTCTCCGGGTCCTCCGGTTTCCTACCACTGCTAAAGACTCCTACATGCAAGCGAATTATGTAAATAAAATTAAACCATATGTTAGTCCCGAAACGACCTAGTTTGTGTCGAGTAGACGTTAACCTCCACTCCACACAAACTAGGTCTCTCTCTTAGTTGAAGTTTTTATGCCTAGGGCTCCTGATCTGCTTCACCTATTGTTAAAATTGCTAGAAGTCACTCTTCTGATAATGTTCATTTTGATATGATGGGCGAAATCAACTTCAACACACAATTATTTCGATCTCCATTGTGTCATATTTCTTGCTTTATACAAAACAGTTCTGTTTAAATCAGTGATTCTCAACCAGTGTGCCACGAGATCTTCCTAAGTGTGCCGCGAAATTTTGAACGGCACACTAAAAAATTGTGAAAAACCATGTGATTATAATTGAGTATTCACTGGTGTCTACTGGGAAGTTGATAGCCGTGTTTTTCTTTATGTAGTTTGAGTCATACTATGTGTCTATGACTAGTCTGACTTGCCATGTTTTGCAAAATTCAAATATTTTTCATATATATTTAGCCAGGTGTGCGGCTATTTTTTCGTGTGTTCCAAGGTGTGCCGTTGGCAGGAAAAAGGTTGAGAACCACTGGTTTAGATAGTGAAATTGGCATTAACTTCTTTTTTATACAATATAGTCATGCTTAAATAATATAATTCATATTATTCTCTGGCAGATTCATCTGTTTCTCCTACATAAACGCCACTCTCACAACTTAATGATGCACTCCGATAAATATGTGGAGGTTCATCCGCAGCAGCGTCAGCGTACGTAGCCAATGAATCACTGATTTGATAAATTTGTAATATCGGGAATTTACCCATAATTAATAAATAATATCTAGCCAGACGGATACCAGCGTTACACAACAACACAAAACACACAACAAATAATAAATAGGTTAAAATACAGAAAGCTAATCCTCGTACAGTTCTTAACAAGGGAGATAATTCTTCGAGCACTAAAGCTGTTATCTGGGCAGTATCAACATCTGTAATCACAAAAAACAAAGAAATTTATTTTAAGAACAAATCAAGATGGAATAAATCAAGGATGTGGAGGCAGACCACCATTAAATGACACCATCTTGGTACCCACAAATTGTAGTTCGTCTATTTATAGCAATTCTCCCCTTTTGCATGCCCATTTTTGTTGATTTTTTGGTCTAGAGAGGATGAAGAGGGTTTGAATTAACGTTTTCTGCCAGGTTTTGGTAAATAGTCATGAGGTTGGTTACGGGGATATGTACGGCGAATAGTTACATGTTTTTGCAAAGTGCAAAGACATGACCATTTGTTCTCCTGTCTGTAATGAAAAGCATTCAGCCCAACGAAAATTTGGGGAAAAGTTGGAGGTGGGCAAAAAGGCCAGAATTAACATTGAAGTCAAGGGAGAAATTAATGGTGGTCTGCCACCATGTGACTAATATCCTGAGTTGTCTCCCTTGACACATCAATTGATGATCTGCAACAACCACAGACAAAGTTACAATCCTAGTGTCAGTCATTATCACATACGTGATGGAACTGGTTAAACACGTTCCAAATATAATTTTAACACAGAGATCATTGGAACGATAGATGTGTTAAGAAAATTAAAAAAAAAAATGACAAAATCCAAAGGAAAACACAAGTTATCCTTCTATATAACTGACTGAAGTGACGAGTGATAACAGATACACGGGCAAATTTCTGTTCACTAATAATTCCTTCGAAGACCAAAATTTGTTTTATGAGACTGTTTGAGGATATCTGACAATTCATAGAAAAATGATTGACTGTCACTAGATAAGAGAAAACGAAAAAAATAGAAAAAGTCTGTGGATTACGATATTTTTATTAAGAATAGAATGAATAAAAACAAAGGAAAGTACGAAGGATTTCTATTTTTTTTATTTAACCAGTTCTATCACATATGTGATAATGACTGACACGAACATTGTCCTTTAAAACCACACTGGCATTAACACACAGGGATATTTAGTTGAGAGTAATTTTCTTTCTAATTTAAAGATATATTATGGAAGATTAGTTAGAGCGCTTGCAGTTCTCACTATAATAGTTAAAAGCTAGATAATGTAAAGGGAATTTACTGAAAATTTCATTCAAATTGATCCTCTCTGAACCGAGATTTTAGTGTTTGAATTTTAGGCATAGCCTCGATCATCATTACTAAAGACGGTACGATAATAGTCTCGATTATCCATATCTGGATTAAATCATCAATGAGCGATGAGCAGCAAATCGGATCCTAATCCAGTAAATATTGCAGACTAGTGATGACATCGAGAGTTGATTATGGTCTGGATAAGTTAATTAATGTCTAATTAATAGTTTATATAACATTTCAGGTCTGCAAGTTTAAGTTACTTACTATCAATAAGATGTTGTTGTAGAGGTTGTTATAAACAAATTAAGTTACTTACTATCCAAAAGATGTTGTTGTAGAGGTTGTTATAAACAAATTAAGTTACTTACCATCAATAAGATGTTGTTGTAGAGGTTGTTATAAACAAATTAAGTTACTTACCATCAATAAGATGTTGTTGTAGAGGTTGTTATAAACAAATTAAGTTACTTACCATCAATAAGATGTTGTTGTAGAAGTTGTTATAAACAAATTAAGTTACTTACCATCAATAACATGTTGTTGTAGAGGTTGTTATAAACAAATTAAGTTACTTACCATCAATAACATGTTGTTGTAGAGGTTGTTATAAACAAATTAAGTTACTTACCATCAATAACATGTTGTTGTAGAGGTAGAAAGTTACAGGTTGTTATTGGTGGTGGTGGTGGTAATAATATAGTTGTATTTATATTACAATCACCGATACCACTTGATTTACATACGGATAATAACATACTTAATAACTGACGAGTCTACAAATAAATACAACATCAATAAATATAAAATCAATAAATATGAGTCCAGGGGGAGAACGATCTAAGTCACATTTTTGTCTTTTTGCAGACTTTTGGACGAGAATGCTTGACGCAAACAGAACAACGAGTGGGTTTAATCACAACTTCATTGGGGTTTAACGTCCACTCGACACAAACTAGGTCATTTCGGACTAACACATGGTTCAATTCTATTTCAATAATTTGCTTGCATGTAGGGATCTTTAGGAGTGGGAGGAAACTGGAGGCCCCCCGAGATAACCTACGTGGTTCGACAGACGACCCTACTCCTTATCGCATACAGCCGGGTAATCGATACCACGCCAGTTGACTCAATGACAGACCTTATGATACAATGTGCATGTGCTAACCATGCGGCCATCCAACCTCCCGTATTTTAAGAAACCTTTCTTACCTGTTTGTGAAAAGTGTCAGCTAAAAGTTGATTAATATGACTAACATCTGTATCAACCGATTGTTTCATATCATGTAATAAATTATTAAATTGATCAACCCTTTCTGATAAATGTCTATTGATCATAACCGTCTGCCATTGTAGCTCGGTAACCACGACGTCTGCTCCCACTATAACTTCTATATTCACTTGATTAAACCAATTATCTACGGCATATATTAAACAACACAGAAGTATCACCGCTCCACACGTTAACGACGACCTCCACGTTAATCGAGATATAACACAGCGATGTATCCAATGTATGATCGTCATACACTCGTTTAAACAGAAATCGTTCACTTTAGTCACAGACGCGTAAGACTGACTTTTTTTATACGCCCAAATATCACGTAATATGTCTTCTTTACATTTAGGATACGGCTGCACATAAGCTATTCCAAACTCCCCCTCGGTCGATACCTCTTTCGCGGCATTCTCCTTGTAGTATTTAAAAGCGTTTTCTATTTCTATATCCACTGTTGAAGGGGGATGATTTCCAGTCAACAAGATATGAATTTTACGTGAACTTTCATCTGTTGGAACTTTGACTTCGTAGCCCGTTTTTGATAGTCGGAGTTGTCGACATAGCCACGAGATACGATAGCACCATAACAAGACGTCCATTAAAATAAAGAGAAATATAAACAAATACATGATAACATCGTAATGACTAGAATCGAGTATGTCTTTTTTAGTTGAGTTACTGGCCGAATCAAAATGGAGTTCTTCTATCGTCAGTGTATTATTTTTGTCCAGAACTTGATTGATGAAATTTTGAGATTTGAATGAGTTTGTTTGTAATCTTGGTACTTGTTGGGTTGTGAATGTTTCTATAAAAAGTTGTGGTTGGTACAATTCTGGCATTGGCGCCGATTCCTGCAACCTGGAAATAATATTAAAGTTTGATTAATGTAGGGAATAACAATAGTGAGAGGATAAATAACATTTACGAGAGAAAGAGAAAAATGGGGTTTAACGTCCACTTGACACAAACTAGGTCATTTCAGGACTAACATATGGTTTGATGAGGAAACCCATGAGGTTGAACAGGCGAACCTACTCCTTGTTACGTACAACCAGGGAATTGAAACCATGCCAGTTGACTTAATGACAGATTTTATGATTAAATGAGCATTTGTTAACCATTCGGCTATGCAACCCCTACTTTTAAAAGGAATAATAGCCCTTAACTGGTTCAATTCCATTTAGTACTTAAAAAGATATGACAAACTGAAAATTTCGAAACATTCACCATCCTTTGCAGGCGATATAAACAAGCGGTCTGAAAGACCAGACATTTTCCGTGCAAGGTCATCCATCCTTCTTCCCTGACGAGGGAGACAAAGAGAGAAATGGGGTTTAACATCCACTCAACACAAACTAGGTCATTTTGGAACTAACACATTTCAATAACTCACATGCACGTAGGGGTCTTTAGCAGTGGGAGGAAACCAGAGGACCCGGAGCAAACCCACGAGGTTGGACAGCAATAATTTGCTCAATGACAAACCTTATGATACAATGCGCATGTTCTAACCATTCGGCCATCCCCCCCCCCCACTCACTGATAAGGGAGAACTACCCTGGAATATTGTTAGGAACTTTCTACTAGCCTACAATGTTTGGGGTAGCTATGTGCCCTCCCTTCCATAAATGTGCCCTCAAATTTCGACCGAGTTACCTTAAATACTCAAGGAAATGCCCACCCTAATGAAAACATTGTGAACTATTTTTCTGCTACCCTTCCCTTGTTACAACAAAATCCAGAAATACTAGCCTACAATGTAATTATTTTACCATACCTTTGATAAATTGTGTCCGTTATGGACACAAGACCTTCGGCTTTGTCAATCTGTAACCAAGACACAAACTTCTTTAACTGAGAATAGGACATTTCCTCAGCAGATTTCATCTTTTCTAAATCTCCGATAAATATCTCACGAGGAAATTCCAGCCATTTATTATCCACGACCGATATCAAAAAATGTTTGTACATACTCGTAAAATGAGTAAAGTCTTCTAAAAGGGTATCGTTACCCTTTTTAATGTAGTCTGTTATGACCTTTTGTAATTTTTCATGTTCCGCGGAGAAATGTTCTTCAATTAAATACTGAAGCGAACCATTCTGTACATATATGACTTCTAAATGTTTCTGTGTAGTTATCGAATACTCGTGTATCGAATTCCGTGTACTCTGATGCAAATGATGTTTACATGCTCGCTCTCGATTTTTAAAAAGTCTCTGAATTTCACCCATTTCTTTTATTTCCATGGCTTTCAATTCTTTTAAAGTTACATTCACACGCTTTTGCAGACGATCACTGAAATCATTTATCTTTGAAAAATCGGGGAGTATTGTCTTTTGATAGGCGTACAGGATGCCGAAACTTACAGAAAAAGAGAGAAAGATACAATATAGGATGTACAACACTACGAAAATATACACAACACACAGCGACACTCTTCGTCTTTTCGGATAAAAATCTGTCTGCTGAATTTTTTCATGGTCCTCGTTATTCAAAATTGTCATTTCAATTTTATTATCTCTCCGTTCATAATTCAACGGAGCGCGAACGGTCAAACATAAATACAGCACAAACAATATCCACAGAGCAATGAGAGCCAGCATGAGAATGACGATGATGGGTATCCAAGGCGGTGATTGGTCAATAATTTTCTCACTAACTGCCATGGAAGAGGATATCTTATTGGACAATGTCTTGGATGCAACAACGGATGAAAGTACCAAATGATGTCTGGTTGTTGAGTCGTTTATGTGAACGACGAACACATCTGGGAGATGTGTTCTGGAACTGGTGAAATTAAAAGTTATCCAGAAATTGTCAGCACATCCAACAAAAGCATCAAATAAACCCAGACTCTGCACCAGAAGTTTATCAAATATTTGAATATTTAGTATTCCTGGACAACTATCTAAAGAACCTGAAAAAATAGAACAAATTTGTTTAGTAGGTAGAGAGAGAGAGAAATGGGGTTACCATCCACTCGACACAAACTAGGTCATTTCGGGACTAACATATGGTTCAATTTTATTTCAATAATTCGCTTGCATGCAGGGGTCTTTAGCTGTGGGAGGAAACTTGAGGACCCATAGGAAACTCATATGGTGGGACAGACGACCCTATTCCTTGTCACGTACAAATGGGGAATCGAAACCACGCCAGTTGACTCAATGACAGACCTTATGATACAACGTCCTTGCGCTAAACATTCGGCCATCCAACTCCTCACTTCAGACCAAACCGACAATACTTTTTGAAATAAATCCAAACGGTACAGATGTTTTAAACAAGATGCATTCGTAACATTTATTGATCTCCATGCGTTCGTCTTTTACCGTATTTTGTTTACCTTGTATCAAAACTTTGTAGCCATTACTAAAATGTCTTAACTGACTCATGACACATGAATACTTTAATTTAAACTAATTCACATTTACTGCGATGAAAACCAACCAAGCTATGGAAAGAATAAAATTATTTTATTTTTTAAAGTATTCTCCCTACCTGATACATGGAGTGACCATAGTTCTGGTATTGGATCCCATTTTACAGACGCTTTTAACGAGTTAGAATTTATATAAGCTTTACCAGTTGTTGATTGAAAGAATGATAAAATAGATTCTCCCTCTGAAATAAAATATTACATCTTTTGATCATACTAATAAAATAGATTCTCCCTCTGAAATAAAATATCATCATACTATCAAATTAGATTCGCCCTCTGAAATAAAAATATTACATCATACTATCAAAATAGATTCTCCCTCTGAAATAAAAATATTACATCATACTATTAAAATAGATTCACCCTCTGAAATAAAAATATTACATCATACTATCAAAATAGATTCTCCATCTGAAATAACTGTAGAAATAATAATAATAATAATCCTCTATTCATATAGCGTGATAATACTAAAACTAAATTTTCTATTGCGCTTTTCAAGTTTTCTCTATTGAACTATGGAATCGCTTCTGTAAACAGGAATGTCTTTATACATGTAAGCAACTAGATAAGCATTATATTTGAGATCAACAGTTTCAGTTGAAGTAAGTAGCTCTTTTCAAATCTGATAGAGAGGGAGAGAGAGAGAGAGAGAGAGAGAGAGAGAGTTTAACATCCACTCATCCACTCAACACAAACTAGGTCATTTCAAGACATATTGGGTCTTTAGCAGTGGGAGGAAACTGAAGGACCCAAAGAGAACCCACGAGGTTGGACAGGTGACCCTACTCCTTGTCACGTACAACCGGGGAATCAAAAACCTGCCAGTTGACACAATGACAGACCTTATGATACAGCACGCACGTGCTAACCATTCGGCCATCCAACTCCCCTAAATCTAAAACCAAATGAGAAATGTATGATCCTATGCTTACTGTTTGAAACGTAGTGTGAATTAAAGTCAGTGATTGTTTTCCATATAAATTTGTGTTATTATATCACTAAATGCCGTATATAAAGATTTTCTACTTACTGTTAACAGATAGTTTAACTATTGGTGAACGTTTACTACGATACATCTGATGTTGCATCTCTTTCTTCGTATTCAACACTTTAACCGTTACTGGTATCGACGTTGATTTATACTGTGTCTGATTCGGAAATACCTTCGATAGATTTTTAAGACACCCATCTCGGTACCAAGTCGATGAACTGTAGGAAAAAGGCCGATAAAACTGCACAAGTGTCGAATATCGATAATGGGCATCTTGTTTCACTTTATAACCTCTGGCTTGGTTGAATTCATCGTGAGATTTAAAGGGATGTAACTCAAATTCCCCCATCTGATCGCTATAATCTTTATGATTGGCTATAACTAAGACTTCGTCTTCCAGTTTGTATCTCACATCATGAAGAACATTCAAAAAGTCGACTTTTTGGTTCTGGGTTTGATGCGATTCGAGACTGTCTGAGAAAAAACTAAAGTTTTGTTGAGGTAAAACGTAATTTGATCCAGGTATCTGTAGCACGTAGGTAACGTTGTAGAGGTATTTTGGTTTTCTGTATTTAAGATGACACATAAAACGTTCTCCGATTTTCTCAAATACCGGAGATAAAGTAAACTGGTTCACGTTACCTAAAATAAAATATCATATCTATTAACAAGTGAGAGAGAGAGAGAGAGAGAGAGAGAGAGAGAGAGAAATGAGGTTTAACGTCCACTCAACACAAACTAGGTCATTTTGGGACTAACATATGGTTCAATTTTTATTTCAATAATTCGCTGGTGCATAGGGGTTTTTATCAGTGTGAGGAAGACCGGAGGACCTGGAGAAAACTCACGAGGTTGGACAGGCAACCCTACTCCTTATCACGCACAACTGCTGAATCGAAATCACGCCAGTTGACTTAATGGCAGACCTTATGATACAGCACTAACCAAATCTAACAATTCGGCCATCCAAATCCCGCAAATCTGAAACCAAATGAGAAATGAGAAATGATAAGTAATGGCTCGCTAGCCTGGAGGTCGGGTGTTTGATCCCTGCATTGGCCGATAACCATTCAGCCATCCAATCAAAACCCAATTGTCCAAGGAACAAGAATGCCAACACCCCATAGGCATACGAGCTGGGGGAGCTGGGGGGGCTGGGGGGGCGGCCGCCCCCCCCATTTTGGGCACCAAATGCTGGGAAAATTTGGGCACACAATTATACTTTGTAAAAGTTGTATAAAATAATATTGCATTCTTGAATGTGTCCAATTTAACAGCGAATTTATTTTTATTTTGTAACATACTAAGAACTACATTTTTTGGGCACCAACCACCACCGCCCCCCCCCCCCCCAGTCAAAAATTTCCCCGTACGCCTATGCCAACACCTATTCCACTCGGACAACTTCAGACATTACGAACTTGAACACAGAATCTTGGTGTTTGTTCCAACAATCAAACACACTTCCCTGTCACATTTAATACATTTATTAATCAAATATCTTTCTTATAAAACCAAGGGATTCTTGACTGAGCCTTTATTTAGTTTATGTAAGATTAAGGGTGATAATACAGTAAATTCAGACATTACAAACTTGAACACAGAATCTTGGTGTTGGTTTCAACAACCAAACACACTTCCCTGTCACATTTAACAAATTTATTAATCAAATATCTTTCTTATTAAGCTAAAGGATTCTTGAGACTGAGCCTTTATTTAGTTTATATATGATATTATCAAGGGTGATAATACAGTAAATTCACCTTTAGCACATTTAACGGGAGCTGGTGGACATGTTGATCTATAATACTGTAGACAATAACTATTACTATAACATGATATACTACAACAATCTTCATTATAACCTGTAATATATAACATGATATACATGTACTATATCAATGATTCTCAGCCAATGTGCCGCAAGATCTTCCTTAGTGTGCCGCGAAATTTTGAACGGCACACTAAGAAAATTTCTTACTAAAGAAGCCAGCTAGTTGACTGATGAAATTCGAAACACTGCAATAAATTAAGTTCATAGTTATTTATTTTGAGTCATTCTCTGTGTCTATGACTAGTCTGTGTCTACGGTTGTATGCCATTTATTTTACAAAATTCAAATATTTTTTTATAGATATATATATTTAGCCAGGTGTGCCGCTATTTTTTCATGTGTCCCAAGGTGTGCTGTTGGCAAAAAAAGGTTAAGAACCACTGTACTACAACAATGTTCCATATAATCTGTAGTATATAAAATGATATACAGTACTACAAACTGCCTTTTCTATTCAGCCATTAAACTACAGTTGGTCATGTGATCAACTATAATTGTGACATCAGAGGCATTTTTACATCATTTCCATAGTGATCATACCATTCTGTTATTTTCCAATCCAATTGTTGACAAGTATATATAGACAACCCATATATTTATTATTGTCGCCTTTTGGGTACTTACTAGAAATATGAACGACAGACTAACAGACATACTCTTCATAACAAAGGGACATAACTATAAAAGTTATCATCAGAATATCAATAGAAGTCTTCCTGTCAATCAGTTAAGCAACTTATATAACATTCAGAAAGATCGAAACATATAAAATAAGACACAACTGATTCTATCTAAAGATCAAAATACAAAATCTAACTGGCACGTCAAGTTCACAGAGTATTCTCCGTTTTAAGTTAAGAATTTACTCAAAATTATTAGGCCTTATTTTAACTAAAATATAGTCATTTATAAAACTTTTGTTGTTTTAATGTATCAAATACAGCTCCCCCCAGCAAAAAGTTTCGCACCCCCCTGGGAAATAGATATACATTGTCCGTTAATTTTACAGCACCTCTGCACTTCCTCATTGCTCTGAGCTAGTTACCACCCTGATCAAATACATCAATAAGAAACTATGTGCAAAGTTTTGCGCTTCAAAGATATTTCTCATAAACAGTGATTGAAAGTTGAGTAAATTCTTAACTTAATTCTGAGTATGTTTGGTGAACTCGGGGCCAGACAAGAAATAAAAGGGTAAAAATAAAATCCTACATACTATTATTTGTACATGATTTGGCATTTAAACATTTCTCACATTCAGCAGCATACTGAGAACATTCAACACTAGGAAATCTCAATTTTTCTGTTTCTGGCATGGTTTGTCCGAACACCTCCGTTAACAGATCATTTGTTTCATCACAGATAATATTGTTGAGATTCAAAGATGATAATTTTACTAAATTTTTACGTCTCTCTGGCTGAAATTTGAACAAAAAATCAAGCTCTTGGTTTATCAAAATCATAGTTATAGAATACAATGGAGAGATAGAGAGGCAAAAAGAAATGTGGTTTAACGTCCACTCGACATAAACTAGATCATTTCGGGACCAACGTATGGTTCAATTTTATTTCAATAAATCGCTTGCATTTAGGGGTCTATAGCAGTGGGACGAAACCGGAGGACCCATAGAAAACCCTAGAGGTTAGACAGGCAGCCCTACTCCTTACAAACAAGGAATTGAAACCACACAAGCTGACCATTCAGCCATCCAGCCCCCCACAATTTAATTGGTGTTAAATGAGTTATCATCACCCATTGCTGCATGGGTCCCCCTTAAACAAAACATATCAAAAACTAACCTCATATTCATTACAGATTTGGTTGATTTTTCTGTATAAATATGTTTCTCCATCTTCATAATTATCTGGACAAATTCGTTTCTTTTTATCTTTAGAATCACAGACGACTTCCTCTGCTTCTGTCAGACGATTTTTGATGGTATCAAAATGAATAGAATAATAGTCTGGTATTGGATGTCTAAAATAAATACCAAAAAATATATATTATATTCAATTTTATTAGACTAATGTCAAAATTGTTTTAGAGAGAGAGAAAGATAAGGGGAGAGAGAGAGAGATGGGGTTTAACGTCCACTAGACACAAACTAGGTCATTTCAGGACTAACATATGGTTAATTTATTTCAATAATTCGCTTGCGCGTAGGGGTCTTTAGCAGTGGGAGGAAAGTGGAGGACCCAGAGAAAACCTACGAGGTTAGACAGTGACCCTACTTCTTGTCACATACAAGCGGGGAATCCACACCACGTCACTTGCCTCAATGATAGACCGTCTGATACCACGCGCACACGCTAACCATTCGGCCATCCATAAGAAAAAGTGTTCTGAAAATTTCCTGACAATATCATTTCAACACAGGAAAATGTCAAAAAGGACCAAGTGCCCTTGTCACTGATGAATATTTATAATATAATCATCACATTTGCCCAGAAAGTTGTTGTTTTGATAACATCTACTATATAATGATCCTTCAACAGTACTATAAGTAATGAAATAAAATGAAATGAAATGGGGTTTAACGTCCTACTGTTCTTTTCCGACTGGGCTAATGAAGACGGGCATACGCCATACAGTGAGCCATGAGGAGGGAAATTTTGCCCGGGCAGTGGCACTATGGTCTACTCTTATATCAAATTTCAACTGCCAAGGGATCTTTTACGTGCACACCAATGTGTAAACAGGACCTCGTTTTATTTCGTTCCATCCAAATGACTAGACAATTGTTCTTGTCAGGCCCTCCGTCCTGCATCACTGACAAGGGGAAACCACGTCGTAAAATCCTGATGAACTTTCTCGACCAATGCATGGAGAGAACATGTGACCTCCAGACTCGCGAACCAGCATCTTACCCACTTAGCCACTGTGGCTCCCTATAAGTAATAAATCACAAGTACCTGCAGTAATAGTCAACCACATGTTGATATAATTTATTTGTTTCTTCCGACACATTTTTATCAAAATGGAGAAAATAAGCGGTATCATCTTCATGATCCAAATCAACGTATTCTGGTACCAGATAAACACCAGACACACTGATTTTAATCTCTAGTCCTGATTCCCGCTTCCAAACGAAATCTAAAGACTGTTGATTGTTTGTGATGTACATAGTAGTTTCCAACTCTTTCATATCTCTAAGTCTTTCCAAAAACACATTAGATGATGACGACATACTGATGTTCGACCCATCTGAAATATATTTGAAGTAGTATATAAATTTAACATATAATCTTGAGTAAAAGTTTCTACAACTTAAATGAAATTGAAAGTAGGTATCTTTGAACGAACATAAGATTATATGATTAAAGGGGCATTATGTAAGATTTAGATAAAGAGCTGGCAGTTCTCGCTATAATAGTTAACAAATAGATAATTTAAAGAGAATATGCTGAAAATTTCAGTCATATTGCTCCACTCTGAACCAAGATATTAGCGATTGAATTTTAGGCCTAGCCTCGATCATCATTACTAAAGTCGGTATGAAACAAAGTCTTGATTATCCATTTTGACGTTAAATCATACATCACAAAATGTATTCAAACCCAGTATATATCGCGGGCTAGCGATGGCAACGAGAGTTGATTATGGTTTGGATAAGTTAATTATTGTCTAATTAATAATTTAGATAACATTTCAGACGTAAAGAAAGACCTGCAATAGACAGATTTAGCTCTTGCATATTAAGTTATTTGCAAATTAAGTATTCACAAAGTATTTTCACTATAAACTTACCATAGACAGAAGTAGAATTAGGTGGTAAGAATCCTACTGGAAATGATACATCTGCAAAAAAAACAAGCCAACAGTGAGGCTGATGTCCCCCGCCGAAATAGGAAAATAATTAGAGGACACATATAAAAATCAAATTGCGTATCGCTCTGCTTACCCTGAGCAGAAAATGCTCATTATCAAACTTAGTCAAGGTATTACTGTAATGAAACTATACACCAAGTTTCATCAATCTCACTTAATTAGAACTAAAGTTATCGTGTCCCAAAGCATCAACCAATCAAATTGCTTATCTCTGCTTACCCTAAGCGGAAAATGCTTATCTTCGAACTCCATCAAGGCATTGACCTAATCAACACATACACCAAGTTTGAACATTCTAGCTCAATTAGGAAGAGAGTTATCGTGCCCCAAAGTATCAACCAATCAAATTGCTTATCTCTGCTTACCCTAAGCGGAAAATGCTCATCTTCGAACTCCATCAAGGCATTGACCTAATAAACACATACACCAAGTTTGAACATTCTAGCTCAATTAAAAGTTATCGTGTCCCAAAGCATCAACCAATCAAATTGCTTATCTCTGCTTACCCTAAGCGGAAAATGCTCATCTTCGAACTCCATCAAGGCATTGACCTAATCAACACATACACCAAGTTTGAACATTCTAGCCCAATTAGGCAGAGAGTTATCGTGTCCCAAAGCATCAACCAATCAAATTGCTTATCTCTGCTTACCCTAAGCGGAAAATGCTCATCTTCGAACTCCATCAAGGCATTGACCTAATAAACACATACACCAAGTTTGAACATTCTAGCTCAATTAGGAAGAGAGTTATTGTGTCCCAAAAAGTGTGACGGACAGACAGACGGACAGACAGACAGACAGACAGACAGACGGACGAACCCATTTTAATAGTCCCCTGCTTTCTTCGAAAGGCGGGGGACAAAAAAAATGAAAATTAAATTTTCATTTAAAGAGGCGGTCCGATATAAGCACTATACTTCAAGATTAAATCATATATTGAAATAAAATTGAACTCAGTCCACAGTTCATAAATTAAATTCCAGAAGTAGCCAGACCTTTAATATCATCTTTTGTAAAAGAATTTGAGAAAGATTGAGATATTTATTATCATCATATCAAGATTAATAAATTATAACAATACTTACCAACACAGATGGTATCTTTAGTTGTTGTACATACAGCAGCTTCATACTGTGAACCATGACAGCCTGTACATTCTATAACGAAATGAAATGGGGTTTAACGTCCTACTGTTCTGCTCCTACTGGGCTAATGAAGACGGGCATACAACATACAATCTGCTATGAGGGAAATTTTGGTTGGACAGCGGCACTACAGCCTACTCTTATATCAAATTCCAACTATCAAGGGATCTTTTACATGCACGCCAATGTGTACACGGGACCTCGTTTTTTCATCCCATTCGAACGACTAGACGGTGTTGATCATATCGAAACGTATTCGAACCTATCTGTACATACCAAATCGAGGACTCAATAGGGACAATCAACAGTGTGAACCTAGCATTAGAGTACAAAGTTCCATCTTTACATGAGGTCTTTTTTTCTATAAATATTTTTATATTTCCAAATTAAAGACAACTCTCGTTTCAAAAACAAACAATGGCAAGTATTTATATTTTACTTAACACTTACCTTTACAGACGACATCACTAGTAGCAGAACATGATGATGTCATATAATGACCGTCTGGACAAGCTAAGGTACAAGCTGTAATCAGATATACATCAGTAAATTATATCTACATTATTTCATTATCAATAAAAACAAGTGAGAGAGAGTGAGAGAGAGAGAGAGAGAGAGCGAGGGAGAGAGAGAGAGATGGGATTTAACATCCAATCGACACAAACTAGGTCATTTCGGGACTAACGGATGGTTTAATTTTATTTCAATAATTTGCTTGCGTGTAGGGATATTTAGCAGTGGGAGGAAACCGGAGGACCCAGAGAAAACCCACGAGGTAGGATAGCCGACCCTAATCCTTGTCATGTATAACCGGGGAATCGAAACCATGCCAGTTGACTCAATGACAGACCTTATGATACAGCGTGCACGTGCCACCCAAAAACAAATGAAATGAAATGTGGCTTAACGTCCTACTGTTCCGCTCCGACTGGGATCCAACCTTGTGGGTTTTCTCTGGGTCCTCCGGTTTCCTCCCACTGTTAAAGACCACTACACACAAATGAATTATTGAAATAAAATTAAACCATGTGTTAGTCGTGTTAGTCCCGAAATGACCTAGTTTGTGTTGAGTGGAGGTTAAACCCCATTCCTCTCTCTCTCGCTCCGACTGGGCTAATGAAGATAGGCATACGCCATACAGTGTGCTATGAGGTAAATTTTGCACAATGGCCTACTCTTATATCAAATTCCAACCGCCAAGGGATCTTTTACGTGCACGCCAATGTATACACGGGACTCCAACAAAAACAAAGGGTTATATTTCTGTATTCAGATTGTAGGCAATGAAACCCAACTTTATTACAAGCATCTTTTCATTGTATAGCTATTTTGTATATCCAGGGCCTCCTCAGATTTATATTATCCACAGTTGATGAAAGAAAAATTGCCATATTGGCATTATCCCTCAGTAGGATGAAAATATCCGAGACACTGCCAGCTGTGAGACCACTGTTCATTATTTAAAGTAATTGTACTCACAGCTTGACATTAAATAATACTCTCATTGTGAGAAAATCACTTTATTCCCCTCACAATTCATGTTAGAAAAATGAGATTAAATAAACCCACATACCATGACATTGTTGAGAATTGAAGTAAAATCCACGTTTACATCTACAGGCTAACGAATCACTAGCATCCACATCATCACATATAGCATACGTTTCACAAAGAGATAGATCATCATTACATTCACTTTTATCTACAAAATAAATCACAAACTTTAAATATTTCTTTCTTTCCCTTTAGAGGGTCGTGATAATTAAGTGGGGAGGGAACTGGACTCTTGATTAAAATATGAGTTGGTTCAAAGGTCAATCTTGGCATGGGTCAATAAGAACCTTTAGGATTTCTCAAACCCAGCCTAAACTTGTTAAAGGAAATGAAATGAAATGGGGTATAACCTCCTACTGTTCTGCTCCGAATGGGCTAATGAAGATGGGCATACGCCATACAGTCTGCTATGAGGGAAAATTTTGCCCAGGCAGCAGCACTATGGCCTGCTCTTATATCGAATTCCAACTGCCAATGGATCTTTTACGTGCACGACAATGTGTACACGGGACCTTGGTGTTTCTTCCCATACACTGTATGGCGTATGCCCGTCTTCATTAGCCCAGTTTAGGAGCAGGTATAAAATTCTGTATTTATACTTACCATATAGCTGTAATCTTGATACTAAAGATAGAATAGTTTTATTGAGGTTCAACCTTTTTATATCTGGATCACCAGAATACATCCGAACTTTTCCTGAAATGTAGAATTACAGATGCTGAGTCATAAGCTACATATCATACAGTGTAACAATTTCTAAAGCAAAGAGATAGATCATCATTACATTCACTTTTATCTACAAAATAAATCACAAACTTTAAATATTTCTTTCTTTCCGTTTAAGAGGGTCGTGAGTGCATCAAGAGAGATAACTCTGTTGCAAAGACATTCACAAAAAATATTTTTGATCTTCCCAAACTAGTGTTGCAAAGATATTCTATTCAAATATTTTTGATCTTTCCAAAATATTTTTGATCGTCCAAAACTCCTAGCTCCAAATAATTAATCCAAACCAACACAAAAAATGAAAATGAAAACAAATCTAACCAAATGATCTTCCCAAACTAGTGTTGCAAAGATATTCTATTAAAATATTTTTGATCTTAGCAAAATATTTTTGATCGACCAAAACTCCTAGCTCCAAATAATAAATCAAACAAGCCAACAGTGAGGCTGATGTCCCCCGCCGAAATAGGAAAATAATTAGAGAGTTATTGTGTTCCAAAGTCTCAGCAAATCAAATTGCTTATCGCTCTGCTTAATCTGAGCAGAAAATGCTCATTATCGATCTTAGTCAAGGTATTACTGTAATGAAACTATACACCAAGTTTCATCACTCTCACTTAATTAGAACTAAAGTTATAGTGTCCCAAAGCATCAACCAATCAAATTGTTTATCTCTGCTTACCCTAAGCGGAACGGACAGACAAACAGACAGACGGACGAACCCATTTTAATAGTTCCCTGCTTTCTTCGAAAGGCGGGGGACAATAAGCATGAACATTTACTCAATTCGAAGATCAACCAATCAAATTGTTTATCTCTGCTTACCATAAGCGGAACGGACAGACAGACAAACAGACAGACGGACGAACCCATTTTAATAGTTCCCTGCTTTCTTCGAAAGGCGGGGGACAATCAAAGTAGGAGAGTTATTGTTTTCCAAAGTCTCGACCAATCAAATTGCGTATCGCTCTGCTTACCCTGAGCAGAAAATGCTCATTATCAAACTTAGTCAAGGTATTACTGTAATGAAACTATACACCAAGTTTCATCAATCTCACTTAATTAGAACTAAAGTTATCGTGTCCCAAAGCATCAACCAATCAAATTGCTTATCTCTGCTTACCCTAAGCTGAAAATGCTCATCTTCGAACTCCATCAAGGCATTGACCTAATCAACACATACACCAAGTTTGAACATTCTAGCTCAATTAGGAAGAGAGTTATCGTGCCCCAAAGTATCAACCAATCAAATTGCTTATCTCTGCTTACCCTAAGCGGAAAATGCTCATCTTCGAACTCCATCAAGGCATTGACCTAATAAACACATACACCAAGTTTGAACATTCTAGCTCAATTAAAAGTTATCGTGTCCCAAAGCATCAACCAATCAAATTGCTTATCTCTGCTTACCCTAAGCGGAAAATGCTCATCTTCGAACTCCATCAAGGCATTGACCTAATCAACACATACACCAAGTTTGAACATTCTAGCCCAATTAGGAAGAGAGTTATCGTGTCCCAAAGCATCAACCAATCAAATTGCTTATCTCTGCTTACCCTAAGCGGAAAATGCTCATCTTCGAACTCCATCAAGGCATTGACCTAATAAACACATACACCAAGTTTGAACATTCTAGCTCAATTAGGAAGAGAGTTATTGTGTCCCAAAAAGTGTGACGGACAGACAGACGGACAGACAGAAGGACAGACAGACGGACAGACAGACAGACAGACAGACGGACGAACCCATTTTAATAGTCCCCTGCTTTCTTCGAAAGGCGGGGGACAAAAATGAAAATGAAAACAAAGGTAACCAAATGATCTTCCCAAACTATTAAAATATTCTTGATCTTCCCAAAATATTTTCGATCGTCCAAAACTCCTAGCTCCAAATAATTACTCAAAAAATGAAAATGAAAACAAAGGTAACCAAATCCTTTACTTACTGATAAGATTACGCGGTATACCAATATTCAATCTGACGTCTGCTGACGGAAAGGTAACGGCAGCATACGCTAAACCTACTAGGAATGTTAATACAACCACTACAAGAAAATATTTCCTAGACTTGGTGTAAAAAATGTTGGAATGTGATAAACATTTCTGTTTAATGTTTGTTGAAGAATTTGATTCAATTTCCTGGTATATTTCTTCTTCGTCTTTAAAATCATTCTGTAAAATAAAACAAATATTAGTTATCAAACAGATCTTCTCAATTTCTTTAGGCTTCTTAATGAAAGAGAGAGTGAAACAGAGAGAAACAGAGAGAGACAGAGAGAGAGAGACAGAGAGAGATGGAGAGAGAGAGAGAGGGTTTAACATCCATTAGACATAAACTAGGTCAATTTTATTAGACTAATGTCAAAATTGTTTTAGAGAGAGAGAGAGAGATAAGAGGAGAGAGAGAGAGCGAGAGAGAGAGAGAGACAGAGAGAGGGTTTAACATCCACTGGACACAAACTAGGTTATTTCAGGACTAATCCATGGTTCAATTTTATTTCAATAATTCACTTACGCGTAGTTGTCTTTAGCAGTGGGAGGAAACCAGAGGACCCGGAGAAAACCTACGAGATCGGACAAATCACCCTACTCCTTGGCACGTACAAGCAGGGATCGAAACCACGCCAGTTGACGCAATGACAGACCTTATGATGCAACACACACGCACTAACCATTTGGCCATCCAAACATTTTTTTAACATTTAAAAACATTTATAAATCAAATAGAAATAAAATACCAGGGTGGATTATCGTCTTAATTTTCTGAACCAACTGGGCTAATGCAAATGGGCATACACCATACAGTGTGCTATAAGGAAAAGGAGACACTGTGGCTAAGTGAGTAAGACACTGGCTCGCTAGCCTGGAGGTCGCGGGTTCTATCTCGGTGTTGGCCGAGAAAGTTCATCAGGATTTTTCGGCGTGGTTTCCTTTTGTCAGTGATGCAGGATGGAGGGCCTGACAAGGATAGCTGTCTAGTCATTTGGATGGAATGAAAAACTGAGGTCCCATGTACACATTGTTGTGTACGTAAAAGATCCCGTGGCAGTTGGAATTGGATATAAGAGTAGGCCGTAGCGCAGCAGGCCGGGCCAAATTTCCCTCATTGCACACTCTATGGTGTATGCCCATCTTCATTAGCCCAGTTAGAGCAGAACAGTAGGACATTAAACCTCATTTCATTTCATTGTTGATGACATACCATACTGAGTTATCTTTCCCACTGAAGTAATACTGGAAATGAGTAAATTGGTTCTCCATGACCAAAGAAAATTGTTTAAATATGATAATTTTAGGAGTCCAAAATGGCCACTTTATATGAATGAGAATTTTGGGGAATATTAACCCTAACCCTTTTCAGAAGACTGAACTTGGATCTAATTTACCTTTTACTGAATCGAACCCATGATGGCACCCATTCACCTCGCAGTTGCCGGTCCAGCGCTCTACCACTGAGCTATTGCACAACCAAAATACTCATTTATATAAAACGGCCATTTAGGACTAGGAAACTCCCAAACCTCCCCACCAGCCTACAATTAGCATCTACCAATAATTTTAAATCCTGGGGAAAGAAATATAATAGGCTACCTCCTCTCCAGTCATTCTAGATCCTGGGGAATAGAATATAATACACTACCTCCTCTCCTGGGGAAATAAATATAATACACTACCTCCTCTCAAGTCATTCTAGATCCTGGGGAATAGAATATAATACTCTACCTCCTCTCCAGTCATTCTAGATCTTGGGGAATAGAATATAATACACTACCTCCTCTCCTGGGGAATAGAATATAATACACTACCTCCTCTCCAGTCATTCTAGATCTTGGGGAATAGAATATAATACACTACCTCCTCTCCTGGGGAAATAAATATAATACACTACCTCCTCTCAAGTCATTCTAGATCCTGGGGAATAGAATATAATACACTACCTCCTCTCCAGTCATTCTAGTTGTTTTATCAGCCATTATCTTCTCTTGTTTTTCCTCACCAAACTCAGCCTTCCATCCATTTTCATTTCCTTTAACTCTGTCTTTAACCTGAAACAACCAATTATTCTTAATGAATAATCATGTAAAATTCAAGAAGAACATAAATCGATCAAGTATATTATAAGAAAATCAAAAATTAAAAGATGCAACAAAGTATTTATCCTCTGCACCGGAGAACACAATCCCGAAACAAACAAAGAAGATTTGAGTAAAATGTCATTCGTTAAATGACAACTGAAGCATGAGTTCTGAAAGTAATTAAAATATAAAACAGATTGCATTTAAAATATGTGCTAATTAGAACCATGAAGCAATTATCTGAAGAACCTCATGCTTCTGAGGATCAAATAATTGTTGGGCTGAATCCGAACCCACCTATCCAGTTGTGTGCTCCCTGTATTTCATCATTTACGCCTAATATTTTATACCTGATTTTTTATCCTAACATTTTATAAGGTAATAAAAACAGGTTTGAAATCTCTATAGCATAATAATCTATAAATAACATGAATAATTTTTATAAGAATTTTGAACACCTTTGGTTCTAAATCGTTCATCTGGAAATGTTTATTGCTCTTAACAATATTGCTGCAATGGCCCTTAGGCATGAAATAATTAGCATAATTATTGTTGTCTAGTTTTATTTTCATCAAATTAATGTAGAAATAAATACATCAATTACTACTATCGGAGAAGAAAAACATAACTGCTCCATGTTGCCTGTGTGTCATATTAAATCATTCATTGAATCAGTTATGAATCGATTACAAATTATTATTTATAATAAAGCTGTCAATCAAAATGTTTATGATCTAATTAATAAATGTTAATAATAGCAGGACACAAGACAGTCAATAAATCACAGTCATAAATTGATCTATTCTCTGATTCAGATGATATCAAATATAATCAACAATCTGCTCGGTTTCCATATGGGAGTGCATGCACTGTTTATCTTCCCATGAAAGGATTCATTTAAAGGGGTATTATGGTAGATCAGATAAAGAGATAACAGTTATCGCTATAATGGTTTAAAAACAGATAATGTCAGTCAAATTGCTCCACTCTAAACGGAGATATAAGCAATTTAATTTTAGGCCTAGCCTCGATCATCATTACTAAAGTCGCTACAATAAAGAACAAAGTCTTGATTATTCATTTTGACATTAAATCATCCATCAGCAAATGTATTCAGATCCAGTTAATATCACAGGCTAGCGATGACATCAAGGTTTAGCGCATATTTTTGAACAGTGTCTAAAATAATCTGTATTTAGGTCTAATCAGTAACTAGTTTAATAGAGATCAGTAGTTGCCCCAGTTGGGCATTCTCAAAAGTCAGATTAGCTAATCTTAGACTAGAATTTCTCTTTGTCAACGAATAAAATTAAGTTTTAAAATTTGATTGTAAATCAAACATTTAAATCACTGATTTCATGTAATTATTGATTAAAAGAGTTTTTGTTGATCATTGACGAAAGGGACCAGTTACAGGAAGTAGATTATAAAAACATGACATTGTGTTTGAGAACTGTGTTTCCCAGGGAGAAAAAGACAGATGAAGACTGACTGGTTTAAGTTGTTTGAAAATGTATCACGTATATTGAGTTAATTGTTAGGCCCGGAGGTAGAGGATTTTAAGGGCTTTTAACAGAAAAATAAGCCGTTTTATTCTCCAAAATATAATCGAAATTGGCCCTTTTAATAAGACTTCAGACATAGGCCGGTCACCTGGAAGATGAAAATGTAATTATCAATTTTAATAAAGTTGTTGGCATCACGACACTTGGCATGTCATCATATAAACATTATATGTGTTATTTCACGTTTTAATGGAATTTAATTGGCCGCTTTAGATACTCCTTTTGCAATTTTTATACATACAACTGAGTGCCAATTACATAAAATTTCATGAGATATATTAAATATAATATCGTTTATTACGTAAAAACATGAACAGTATATTTGTAATTATAAAGCTTCAAAGACCTACAATACAGTTATTGTGTTCGCTTCGCTTTGAACTTGGCTGTTTTTCATTTCTTACATCTCTTTGTTGGAAATATTGTGTGAACATATGAAACTGTAACAAATGAATGTCATTTTTAGTCGACTTTGCCTTGTGGTTTTTTTCTACATAAACGCTTGAAATATGCTGTCCTCGATACACTCGACGATGACAGAAGTCTCAATCAAATGGCAATCTCTAGCGTCTGGTTATTTCAGCCTACACCGATAGCATTTATTGTGCATGCTTTCCAGATAAGCATATGGCATCACCGCTTGACATGACTTGTGGAATATGTCTAGGCTCGTTCGAGTTCCTTGTTACAAATGGTGGTGAAAAGCATTATGGTACATGATTCATATACCAATGGTAAAATGTTTCTTTTATCTTATATATTGGATACCAAACGCCCATCTTTTCCCCGGTAAGATCACAACATCAACATTAATTTAAATTGACAAACAATTTGTGTTTTCAATGTCAAAGACTTTGGATGATATTGAGTTACAGACTTACCTACTTTAATGCATGTTCCCGGGAAATATTGTTTTTAGAGTTTCAGATTACGCCCGTTTTTTTAACGCATACTTTTTGTTTATTTCCAATGTCAAAGTTTAACATCTTAATTCTGAAAACATTATAGGGGATCACGTGGCTAAGTGGGTAAGACGCTGGCTCGCTAGCCTGGAGGTCGGGTGTTCGATCCCTGCATTGGCCGAGAAAGTTCATCCAGATTTTCCGGTGTGGTTCCCCCTTGTCAGTGATGCAGGACGGAGGGCCTGACAAGGACAGCTGTCTAGTCGTTCAGATGGGACAAAAATCTGAGGTCCCGTGTACACATTGGCATGCATGTAAAAGATCCCTTGGCGTAAGAGAATCCTGTCAGAAATGCTTGGTTGATTAATAAAGGAACTAGGTAATTATTGACCGGTATGGCGTATGCCTGTCTTCATTAGCCCAGTGTTTAGGAGCAGAACAGTAGGACGTTAAACCCCATTTCATTTCATTTCATTTTGAAAACATTATACCAATATCATCATTGGAAATGGATAAAAAAAAACTGTCCATTTTATTTGAGCAAAGTCAATTGAGAATTTACTAAGAAAAACAAGTTTGACTACGTCTAGAACAACTTGGTTTCCAGAGAGTTTCGACAAATGGCATTCATACACAAACTGTCCATAAGAAGACAGAAGAGCATATGAGCGATAAACTATAAACATACTTATGGAAAACAGCTACTGATTTATTTATATTGAAAAAGTTGAGAGAATACTTTTGGAAACGTCGCCTAAATAAATCAGTAGCTGTTTTCCATAAGTATGTTTATAGTTTATTTATCTGCCCAGTTACTCAATGCCTCTTAAAGAATATAACTTTTATTGTTGTGTTGTACTTTTATACTTGATTCATGTTATCAGAATAACTGATCAGCAAGCGAGAGAGAGAGAGAGAGAGAGAGAGAGAGAGAGAGAGAGAGAGAGAGAGAGAAATGGGGTTTAAACTCCACTCGACACAGATAAGGTCATTTCGGGACTAACATGGTTCAATTTTATTTCAATAATTCGCTTACGCGTAGGGTTCTCTAGCAGTGGGGGAAAAACCAGAGGACCAGAAAAAAATGCACGGGGTTGGACAGGCAACCCTACTCCTTGTCACGTACAACCAGGAAATCGAAACCACAAATGCATTGGTAGAAAGAACTTCTTGGCTCATTTATCACTTTGGTCAATATATAATAGTCAACAATTTTAGATTTAGCTCCCTTTATCCAACAATATCAGCAGACGGCATCTCTGTAGCTCTAAAGATTTAATATTATTCTGTGGTATATAAAGTTTAACTATATGGTAATTGAATATACAGGAATGTGAAAATTATCTTGGTATGTGAGTAGTCATTTCAATATTTTTCACCCATTACTTTCCTATTAATGTTTAAAAGACCGACAATGGTGACACGATTAAGAGAATCCCGTCAGAAATGCTTGGTTGATTAATAAAGGAACTAGGTAATTATTGACCGGTGTAAATTATTATACCCTATGTGAATATTTATTAAAGCATAAATATAGACTCAATGGATATTTATCGTATCTCCACTTGAAGCTGTCATCTCTAATAAAAATTTTGTCCAGTACTTACAATATCGCTTGTCCTCAATAAAAGTTGAGCTTACAAATGGATTTCATAATCGTTAACTAGGGTGTGAAAAGGAATTTTGATAAAAGCTGCCATTCAGCCATAGTAGCAAAAGCAGGAGGACCACACTATTTGCAAACAAAACGTCTTGAAGCTGTCATCTCTAATACAGTTTTGTCCAACAGTTACAATTGCTTTTCCTCAATATTAGAATGGGCTTACAAAATGGAGTTCATCCATAAACTAAGGTGTGAAAAGGGAGTGTTTGTAGAAGAATTTGTGGCTCATCAGATGTGGATGCAATAGTGACAGCTCATGTAGTACGTGTGCTTGTAGCTGCACTAGGGAGGGCTTAGAATATACAATATTTTGCGCTTGTGCTGTCACAGGTTGCAGCCAGAAACACGACTAAAGTATTAAACTGGATATTATCTAGTTTTGTGGAAGTTATGTTCCTGTTTTGCGGGTAGAATTTGTTTTTTTAAATTTTCAACAATCAGCTTGTGCCTCCCTGTGGCCCCGAATGTCCTGATAGGGATGTATGTGGTGTTATCCCATCACTCATACGCTCCTTTGTCCAGAAATATATAGTTTATCTCCTGATATAGTTTGGTTCGGTGAAATAATTGCCCCCAACCGCCGCTAACTAGTGAAAGGAGCATATTGTCTGGCATGTTTGGTTTTAATATCATCTAATCACCCCACAACATAATAAATGATTTCAGTGTATACGGTTAGACACCAAAATTATCATCCTGGAATAAATACTATGGGAGCTATAGGGGATTATTTGATGGGGCGGCCGTCTTGGACGCCATCTTGAATTTCTCAAAACGCTCAAGGGTGACTGAGGTTCACCCGGCAGATTCTGAAAGAGGACACCATAGGCTACTAAAATC